TGGTCAGCTTCGTCAGCTTCATTGTCGGGTAATTTCGTTGTCGGCCTCAGCATAAGAGAGATGTCACCTGCAGTACTGATTCCTATTCCGAAGCAAAGACGAAGAGGCTGCAGTTGAATTCTCGGGATACATGTACTTATTTGATTAGTGAACCACCACTAGAGCAAGGCCTCGAGATCAGGAGGAGCGGGGTGGCCACTACCTTGGATCTAGACTCGAAATTGATATAAATTCTTAGTTTCTGCCTCTAAGCGCCTACAGTACAACTATACAAACGGACATGTGTAGGTACAGGGCAATCTAAACTGGTAGGGCTTACCTAGCATCTATGTAATATAGATTGCTACAGTATGTCACTCTTGATCCTCTTCCAAAGTATATCAAGATGCTTACGTCATGCAGCCGCGGGAAGCTCCCGAGGCTCAAGCATCACTCATCGCCGTTATAGGTAATTTTTGGCAATTCTGGGCATCTACTGTTAGTTGGTTATTGACATGTGGGGGGGAAGCTACTGTACGTCCATACGAAGTGCTTTATAGGTACGGCTAAGGGATGGCTGCTACTATAGCGGTTTACAAGTATACCTAGACACATGTACCTATCTCACGTCGCGGGCAATTATGTAAATTGTCAAGCTGCGGAAGATGGATGCCGCCTTTTTTTTGTTGGGAGATGCGATGAAGATACGGGGCCGCGGCATAATCAATTGACCCGTGGCAATGACAAACAGCCACATGAAAGAATACACGTACGTGTTGCTCGTGTAACAAAGTGTTGGCTCTCTTCAGATATAGCGAGGGGCTCGTCGAGGAGCACTAACTCCGCAGTTCGTCCGGACTCGGCTAATACCCGAGACAAGTGATCGACTCGACTAATAACGTGCTCTATCACGAAATAGGCAAATGAGCCGACGGGAGATTTCACCGCATCTTGATACCAGCAAGCTAGATGCCTTCTTCAATATCGCTCCAGCCGCCGCCGTCTTCTTGAGCCAAGATACCCCTTTAACTTTGCGGACAACAGGTTCCTGGTGCGTATTCGACTTGTTCTCCGGCTTCCAAGACATGATACAAATGCCGGCGAAATCTTGATCGTGCACGCCCCAGCAACCCACTATGGTCTCGACAGCGTATCTCATGACTCGGTTGCTGCGCACGTTGACACGTTAGCAATTTGATATGTACTTGTTACTTGCTCAACGTTTTATATGGAGCAAATAAGGGGGATTGTGTTCAAAGAGTGATAGCAACACGAAGAGTCGGGGTTTATTATGAGGCCTTTTCACAGCTTCACACATGGCACAATCAGATGTGGTTTTCCTTGAATCCAGATGTATCACAGACTAGCTCAATACACTGAGCACTGGGCTCAGTCTTCAGCATGACGAGTACCGCAGCCCCTTGCCGCAGACTCACTTACACCGGGTGCCCGTACCTTGCATCTCACATCCCTAATGCAGCATAGCAATCTGGCCTCAACTTGGTTATCAATTCTCGGCTTCAACGACAACAGCTCCACCACTTTGCAGCCAGATGTGCCCCATGATGGTAATTGCTGAAATGTGGAACGGCAGCTGAATGGTCTACTGTATGCATGGTCGATCCGCATAGACACAGCTCGATGCGCGACATGAGCTGATACGTGCTGTGGCAGCTGAATGATACCAATTAGGAATGCATCATATATGCGAGGCGTAGAATAACAGCTGATGTGAGCCAAATTGACACACCCAAAATAACTCTGTTCGACCAGGTATATGGATATACTGCGGTCATGTCAGTTTACAAAGCTGGTGAAAGGAAGCCTCGCCCATATTCTACTCTGGTCGTGCGTAGGTATCGAGTTTGGTAAAGCATGTTAGTAGCTATATGGCTCTTTCATCTGACACATACCAAATAACTGTTCGACTCCCATATGTTTTGCAACGCAGAATAGTGAGAAAATCTACATTTATCAACTTACGGACTATTCAAGTATAAATGATTGAATCTTGTCCGCGGACTCCGAAACTAGACCTGCAGAGCGCAAATGTAACCGCAAACGTCCCAATGTAGAAGCTGGCAAGGCGAAATGACGATTGCACCAAAGAACCAGGGCCTTGGCATTCGGGTTGTATCCCTTTTGAGATTGGCACTCCATAGAGCATTAAGCTTAATACTGTTGTTAAATGCCAATAGACGATATACGCTCGACATCATATTCAAGAGTATCAACGTTGACTTACTAACAACCATCTAGGTATATAGCCACCAGTATTAAGGGCTGGTACCATCACCAGCACCATGTGCTATATACCATCAGGAACGCATCTATAAAACTTACTAACTTTTCGAAAGAGTAAAAATTGTCATGGCATCACATTCCCCGCGCCTCGTGTTCTCGCCAGCTCTCTCCTCTCCTCCAGCGTTTCATTGCATGAATCACCTCTCCAAACTGCCGACACTCCTCCAGCAAAACGACAATGTGATTCGTCTTCCCCGCACAAAACTCCTCCTCGTCAACGTCTACTTTTAGACTTAAAAAGTAGCGTGCAGGGGTCGAGAAACAACATCCTGGGGTAAAATACCTTGGCGATCACTTCCGTAACCAAAGAGGGTAATCCTTGCCCGGCTGCCAATTGGTGCTGCTGTACTGATGAATCACCCGGCCATACTAGTGAAGTGATCAATATACAACACACCTTCAATGGACTTTGAGGGAAGCATTTCTCGGCCGCGGCACCTAAAAGAGGAAACCGGTGCATCTTTTCACATGTCCTTTTGGCGATGGTACAGATGCTAGTGCCTGAGTGAAGAGAGAAATTACGACCGCGGCTGCCAGTTTAGGTCACGAGGAATGAAGCATGGCATTGCATTGCATTAGACTCAAAAGCAATGAAAGAAGCACGACTATACGGCTCAGTATACTCTGAAAGGCGAGACCAGTCAGCAGCATGGAGGCGGCCGCTCTAGTCTGACGTTTGATCTATATATAAGCATCACCAGCTCCCGAGTGACGAACAGATGCTTCTCGATAAACTCTTATACCTTGCCAAGAACTGCTGCTACAAAAGCTGGATAGAGGGTCAAATCTTCGGCCATGCTTCGCAACTCCATCGCCGCCCTGGCCAGCCTGCTAGGCGCCACGTCCGCCTTTGAATTCTACACCTTTGACGGCCCCGGCTCACCGTCGTGCCACAACGTCGTCGAGGTCCACAACGCAACCAGCGTCGCCGAGATGGCCTCGCTCGTCAAAGACGCCGCCCGCCGCGGCCTGCAGGTGCGTGCCGGCGGCAAAGGCCACATGTGGTACGACACGCAGTGCTCCGACGACGCGACCGTCATCATTCGCACCGAGTTTGTCAACGGCATCTCCGACTTTGACCTCGAGGGCGGCAGCGTCGTGGTCGAGGGCGGCGTGACTTTCTTCCAGCTCGCCGAGTATCTGCACGAACGGGGCGCCAACATCGGCACGGGCTTGGTGAACTGGAACATTACGCTTGGGGGGAGTATCGCCATGGGTGCGCATCGGACTTCGCTGAGGGAGGATGCCGTGGTGGTTGGCGGCGTGCTGGCGCTGGACATTATAGACGGTAACGGAGATGTGCGACAGGTAGAGCGGGATGAGAGCAGTGAGGAGTGGCTTGCTGCGTCGACGTCGTTGGGCTTGCTGGGGATTATTGCGCGGATCAAGATGCAAATCTTCCCAGAGACCAAAGTCTACGCCATGCAAACGACGTTGGTTCTCCTTTCTTTTAGTCTAGAACATGACTCTCAAGTTGTATAGGTAGCTAACAGTCTTCCAGTCTTCAAGAGAATGATGTTCTCAACGGCGACATTTACAAGTTAATCTCGCCATATCTAACAGCCAATTTCTGGGTAAGTCCAACACCAAAGCCATCTGAGTTTTAATAAAATGAAACAAGTACTCATACTTGTTCTCATGCAGTGGTGGCCCTCCCAGCACAAATTCCACTGGCGCACCTACGACATCGTTCCCACAAACACCAGCAGCCAGCTCGGCTTCCAATCCACATTCTCCGTCACGGCCCTCGAAGCAGGCGCCGCCGTCGTCCTCCTCAACAGCGGCAAATACAGCTCCATCCCCAACCTCGCCGCCGAAGGCATCTTCTTCGGGCTCTGGGACAAGCCAAACTTCCACGACAAGGTCACCGACGCCGAAATCACCGACTGGCCCATCTACGGCTGGAACTACGACGTGCTGATTGGCGGCCTGTATCCCGGGCAGAAGCCCGAGTGGGAGTACGGGCTCAAGGGGTACACGCTCGAGCTGGCCTTTCCCGTGACGAGGGCAAACGAGGTGCTGAAGCGGATTCGCGCCCTCTTCGATGCCGAAACGGCAAAGGGGATGCCCATGGCGTCGACGTACCGGAGCGGCATCAACATCAAGTTTGGCAAGGCGCACTTTGATCTTCTTGGCCAGGTCACGACGGATACTGCCGATGGGCAGGACTGGAGCAAAGGCGCCATCATGTTTGATTTTCCTTCTTTCCGACCCAGTCTTGGAGATGAGAAGCGATACAACGAGGCATTCTGTAAGCAAAAGCTCATTTTCACCGAGAGAAGAGAGAGAGGGAGAAATGGGAGAAGAAGAAAATCATGACAACACTAACTGCTTTTGTGTTTTTTCCATCTTGTAGACATCAATTTGGCCAACACGTTGGTTGACGAGTTCCCATGCCGGCCTCACTGGACGAAGAATACCCGTGACGTCTTCAAGCGCGCAGTCAAAAACTTGGATCCAAGTGTAAGTTGAAGGTCCTCCCTTTTACAGAGCTTCCCATCTGGTTTATTCTCTCTCCTTCTTTCCTCCTTGGTGGCTGACTGGAGTTCCTAGTATCTCTCTCGCTTTAAAGCTGTGCGGCAAAAGTTCGATCCCAAGGGCATCTATCGCAGCGTTGTCGGTGAAATCATCGGCATGTATGACTGAAGGGAGTGAAAGATTGTATACGAATCACACACTGCTGTACATGAAAGAAACGCACAGTTTGTACAAAAAAGGCATAGTAGAGAAATATCAATTTTTTATTCCATGGAATGTATTAGACGAGCACAGTCTTGGTATCATTAAGCAGTATTCCATCGACAAAGGGAGAAAGAGACAAAAGACATGTTTCTATATCAATGAACAGAAAGAGAACAAAAGAGTCAGGGGTATCAATCACACAGGCTGACAAAGCTCTGTAATTAGACATATCCAACATGTCGCACATTAATCGTCCCCCCCAACACAATATGAACAAGCAAGGCGAAGATCGCCTATAATTCGCAAATTGCATGTGCTCATTTCGTCACGGGGATATAAGCCTTGTTGCCAATGGCCTTGTCCCACATCGTCGCGAGAATGCCACGCACAGGCCTGCGCTTGCCTGCGCCCGTGTCCATGTCAGCCTTGAGCTTGTCATAGACAGAGGGCAGCGTCTCAGCCTTGTACTTCTTGCGCATTTCGTCGTAGACATCCTTGCGGTAGATGAGCCAAAACTCGTCCTCGGTATAGTATGTTCGGGCATACAGGAGCTTGGCTCCCATGAGTTCGGCGCTGCGCAGCTCTAGCTTGCGGTTGAGCTCGTAAAAGGCCTTGGGGTCACGAGGTCCGCGGCCGTAGACACCAACGGCGAAAATACGCTGGTCCGAGACTTCATCGACACGGGCGTTGAAACGAGATGTCAGACCAATCTCCCTAGGAGCCTTGCATGGAGCCAGGAAGATTTGCAGCTCCGGCAGCGTGTCGTTGACAAAGGCAATGAACTCCTTGACAGTGCTAGCCGGAATACCAAAATCTTGCACGACATACTCGTTGGCAAGGCCGGACTTGTGCAGCGCGTGGTAGCAGGTACGGCTATCGAGGAAGGGGTCGGCCAGGCGGCGAGTAATGGCATTCTCAGGCACGTGGAAATGCTTAAAGGCAAGCTTGCCGCCCCAGAAAGCACCGTGGTCGTAGCGGAAGAGATAGTCGGGAGTATACATGTAGAGATCCGCGGGCTTGTCCGCCGTAGGCTGCTTCTTGATGGCAGCTTCAATAGTGTCGGCAAACCAGTGCACCTCCATCTTTTTAAGAGGGGATTTGCCTTTGGGCAGCGTCTTGATAAACCGTCCGAACATGACGACAATTACGCCCCTGCGGAAGTAGACGCCATCGATGAAGTGAATTGACTCGTCTTTGGCGGCTTCCTCAAAGAGGTCGTGGGCCTTGGCAACGTCGTCGACCAGCTGGACGTCCAGCTGAACAAATTGAGTGGCCGGAATCAGCTCAATGGTGAGCAGGGTAACAATACCAAAGGTCCCCAGGCTGCCTGCAGCATGCTCGAGCAGGTCTGCGTTGTGCTCGCGATTGGCCTTTTCCAGCGTGCCGTCGCCAAGCACAATCTCAATCTCGGACACGGTGTTGTTGAAGAGACCATAGCGGTACATGCTGCTCTCACCGGAAAAGCCAGAGTAGCCGCCGCCAGCGGTGATGCCCTTGAACTCCATCACAATCTTGGGAATAACTCCATGTTTGAGCGTGTGAGCAGCCAGCGCATCCATGGGCACCTTGGGCTCGGCCTGCACGGTCATGGTCTCCAGGTTGACGGGGAAGATCCGGTCCATGCTGCTGGTGTCGACAATGGCATCGGCCTTGAAGGACAGCGGACGCGTAGAGCTGGTGGAGCCATGGTAGACCCGGAATTGCTTCTTGTTGTCGTAGAAGTGCTTGACTTGCTCCTGGATCTTGGCAACAGCAGTGTTGTGCTCCTCGAGAAGCTTTGCGGGATTCATTTTGTCTGGCGATTTGGGGGGTATCAATACATCAACAAGTAAAGCAAATAAAGACAGTAACGGCAATAAGAAGCCGAGAATTATGAGGACGCAGTAGAAATGCTGAAATTAGCAAAAGCAAACGACTCAATGCCCAACGACGCCCTCGCCACGCAGAGTCGGGATCGGTTGAAGTATGTAAGAGAGAGAAAAACAGGGAATCGCCGGAGCTCTGCCTGCTGTGACAACGGTGACGTCCCGTCTCGGCACATCAGCGAGCAGCTGCCGTTCCGGCAAATTAGGGGGGGCTGGGGCTGCTGACGTTTGGTGCTCAGCCCCTACCTTCGCTGGAGCATCCGCTGGAGCATTGGCTGATGGTGGTTTTAGCTTGATGGCAGGTTGGCGGTCGAACCACCTGAGCGTCAATCTCCCGCGCCATTCCAGGTGAGACAAAGGCGTGAGACTGGATAGCTCGGCATGAGGCACTAGCACCGCTTTGACATGAATGCAAATTCCTTCTCTACTAGCCTGATCCTGGTCTTCTTTGTTGTGTTCAAAGCAGTTCATTTGTCCATGATTTTGAGGCAGCCCACGCAGCCCCACGCACCCAGCTTCTCAAATTGCATCAACATCAAATGCGCCACTAGCAAAAGTGGCCGCCTTTGCTTGGAGCTTCCGCCAATCGGTTCCTTTGCCCTGTCCGACTCCCCGTCTTGCTCAGCGCTTGAGCCGCCCTGCGATCCTGCAACTCACGGTTTAGCCCCAACCTGCTTGCGAACATGCGGAGAGCGGCGCTCTAAGCTTAAAAGAAAATTCAGCCACAGGCACAGAATTGCAAGAGGTCCTTTGTTGTCTAAAGCTGGTTGGTTCCGAAGGCGTCAATATTCTAGTGCTTCTCTGTGGTCCCCTCCCCGTAGTGTTGGGCCAAAGTACAGTGTGGTGCTTCATGCAATATTTGACAAAGGCACATCTCCTCGGACTGTTTTTTTTTTTTTTTTTTTTTTTTTTCATCCACGGCATGTGACTTGTATTGCATATTGAAGACGGTTTCTTTCATTTTCCATCATTTGCACCGGGAATGAGTTCTCATGACTTGCTCCGTGTGTTTTCTCTTACATGGTCAAGTTTGTCAATCTTTCTGTGCACAATCCAAACTATTACAAAAGACACACCGTGCCTTGGTACTTCCAAAAAACCATAACAGCTGGTTCTCCCTCTATATATTCATAGCCCGGATGCCTATTATCTGTCTCGTAATGAGTGGAGGAGTTGGTCATAGTTGTATCGAGAACCGCCTTGTTCTAGGGTAGATTTCACGATGCGCATTTGTGTGAGCTACATGTACTAGCTAGAGGCGACTACGACGGATGTCTATGCAGCGAGTCTTTAGAAAGACAATTTAGTCGCTAAACTATCTCTGTTAATAAAAAAGATTAAAAACAAGGCGTCAAGCCGAATAAGTTATAGGCACACTGGTGCTCCTTTGAACTATGTGCCGTCTGTGTATGCGCTCATATCTGCAATGTTCACATGTTCGCATGGTGAAGCTTGGTGGCGCCTAATCGCTGCTATCGATAACAGTGGGTCTGGCGCGATACTGGGTTATGTCGAGCCTCAAAAGCTCAAGCTCGCGTGGTTCAGCTGCCAACTTTTGCGACAGCTACGGCTAAAGGCAACATATAAAGGAGGCTTCATCACACACGGTCGGCCATGTCGTCGATTTACAACCTTGAGCCACAGCCTACGGCCTCAGCGGTCCTGCACACAACCCTGGGAGAAATCCACGTCGAGCTCTTCGCCAAGCAGACACCACTGACGTGCCGCAATTTTCTTCAGCACTGTCTCGACGGCTATTACGATGGCACAATCTTCCATCGGCTCGTTCCAAACTTCATCGTGCAAGGTGGTGACCCCACAGGAACTGGAAATGGCGGCGAATCAATCTACGACGGAGGTGCCTTTGGCGGCGACCTGGATCCTTGGCCCATGGACCAGAGACATGGGCAGAACGCAGGACCCAATGGCATCAACTTTAGAGACGAATTTCACTCCCGACTGAAGATCAACCGACGCGGCATCCTGGCCATGGCCAACGAAGGAAAACCAGACACGAACGGAAGTCAATTCTTCTTTACACTAGACAAGGCAGAGGAGCTGAATGGCAAGAACACAATGTTTGGCAGGGTTGCCGGAGACACAATTTACAACTTGGCAAAGATTGGTGAATCAGAAGTGGATCAAACGACCGACCGACCGCTATATCCTGTCAAGATTGAGCGGGTGGAAATCTTGGTTAACCCCTTTGGCGATATGATAAAGCGATCGAGGGTGGCGCAAACACAGGAAAAGCCAAAAGCAGAGAAAGAGAAGAAGAAGAAAAGGAAAGGCGGAAAGCAGCTACTCAGCTTTGGGGATGAAGAGGGCGACGAGGACGTGCCTGTCTTTAAAAAGGCCAAGTTTGACTCAAGGATAGTCATGGCAGAGGAGGAAGAGACTCCTGCTCCCAAAGAGAAGAGCTCAAAATCAAAACCTTCTAAACCAAAGGCCGCGGATAAGCAAGAAAGTGAGACTCGGGTGACCCGTGATAAGCAAGCCGAACCGGCTGCTGAAAACAAGGAGGATGATGAAATGGAAGAGGAGAGACCAATGGATATTCCCCTACGCAAGAGACATAAGGAACCGTCGCCTGAGCTATCACCCGAGCCAGAGCTGGCCAAGGAAAAGAGTGCATTAGAAAGGGCCAATGAAGAGCTAGCCGCTCTAAAGGCATCAATGAGGAGGACAGTCCATTCGGAGCAACCAGTCAAGGAAAAGAAAAAATCAGCATTAGAAACAATGATACCCGAAACATCCATACGAGGAAGAAAAAGGCGGCCGGGTGGTAATAATACAACAGCAAGCGAAGAACAGACATCTCTTCGCCTGCTAAAGGCCTTTCAAGCGAAGCTTGAAAAGGCCCCGCCATCAAAAGAGATGCCTGCAGAAGCGCCCGTCAGTCATGAGGAGGGCGAGGTGGATCTGCCCTTGCCGGATGAAGAAGCAGAACTATGTGATTTGCACTTTATTGCAAATTGTCAAAGCTGCACGTCGTGGGACAAACAGGGCAAGGAGGATAGTGACGACGAAGGCTGGATGTCACACGCACTTTCGTTTGCGGCCGACAAGCTCGGCAAGGACCTCAGCAACCGTAGGAAGGCTGAAGAGGAGCTGGTCGTCATTGATCCGCGGGAGAAGGCTCGGACTCTGAAAGAGGAGAAACGGGCTGAGCGAGAGGCTCGATCTGGTGGATCTGGGAGGGCATGGGATCAAGCAAGGAATGCTCAGATGGCAAAAGTTTCTTCATTGGCTGGTAGAGGAGCGAAATGAAGGTTTGGATTCTATGGGACTCGCATAATGTAATGTTTCTTATTATTGATCCTTGGTTTTATGGCGTAGCGTATGGGTAATGCTTTAGCTTTTACTATGATTGCCATCATCTTCTACTTTTTGTATATAGTTGTATTGGAGAAATATAGCGGCAAGCATAGTTGGTTATGCTGAGTCTGGATCAAGACATTGGCTATATCCGATTGCAGCTCGGGAAACCCAAAGCCACCAATCTTCAACTGTGTGGTACCAAGCAGAGGCCACACGCTATCTTGGTTTCACTCTACATACAATGGGTCAGTATTACCTCTGATTGAGAAACAATCCAGCAAGGTTCGAGAGCTGCCGTCAGAGTTGAGGCTTCTGGTCAGGTTTAGCGACGTCGGGTCTTCAACAAGGTCTTCATGGCGCAGTTGGCTAGCGCGTCAGTCTCATATTAAAATCAATATGATCCAAGCATCAGTTTGGGCCATCTGAAGGTCGTGAGTTCGAGCCTCACTGAGGACATTGCTTTTTACTTTTTGCTCGGTTTTAATGAGCTCGCCATGTATCAATGCTATTCGTTATTTTTTTCAATGACGATTATACTCTAAAGAGCCGTAGGAACATTGCAAGAGATATCCATGTTTGGCAAACCCGTGGCTTCAAACATGCATAAATTCAGATCGAACCATTCTGATATCATGATTTTGCAATGAGCAAAACGGTCTGGACTTGGCGATATGCGCGATAAGGCCACTTTGGGCAATGATCTTCGTTTCTCATTGTGGGCTTTACTGCAAGCTCCATATAAGCTTTCAATTTTTTGACCAAAGTCGCTGTCCGAGCGTAAACCATCTGGTAGCAATTCTCAAGTAATAGCAAGCTAAGCCATGTTTGTGTGCTAGCTATGACATTAATCTCCTGCTCGAAAAGCTCCGGACTTGACTCCGCAATATCCATAAAGAAAGAACAAAGTTTGCTGTTTGTTCCGAGTCAACGGCTCATTTCTGGACCACTAGCACGGACAAGGCGGCTTATCATCACGTGTTGACAGCTTTATTTCGCTGAACCGCCTCTATCGCCTCGCGTGCTGATTGGCCGATCTGGCTAGACGCCGCGATGACATCCTTAGACCGCTGACCGAAGCCCACTCTTGTGAAAGTACTTTGTAATTGTGAAATCAAGCATTTTCTCAACCACGCCCGACATCCTGCCATCGCGCTGGGCTGATATCTCGGCTAGCCCAACGAACGAGCTGCCCGCTGCGCGCCTGCGCACGCCAGACATCGCCAACCTCCGCGTCCGGAAGCGAGCCTTCGCCGCAGCCGAACAGAATTTTCCCTCTCTTGATTGCGTTTGACGCAGCCCAGCTGAACCCGCCCAACGAGCGTCGCGCCAGCAAAATCCAGAGAGCTCGGATTGCCGCAGAGTATCAGGCGCCGAGGCACAGCGACCGCCAGAGAGGTGGTAGTTTTTTTTTTTTTGTTAATCCTCTAGGCTGCAATCGGTTGCCTAATTACTTGGACAACCGCGTGCCACGCCTGTACCATTTCCATATCCGCCCAGCTCATTGCTGCGGCCAGCGAATCCCACAGCCTTTCGCAACCGCCTTATCGATCTCGGCGTTGAATAATCAGCCAAGAAAGCCGACGTGTTCTCTCCCCGGGCCAAGGCCAGGCGCTAACTTCCTGCGCGCGCCCAGTTCCAGCCAGCTCACTGTTGCTGGATGCAGCAGTATATCGACCTGCTTTTCGAGATACTGCAGGCTGCTTATCTTGCCTTTGGGCTGCGGGCTCAGCACTGATCTAGGCATCATCCATCGGCTTTCGATATCGCGACTGGACCTCGTTTCATTTCCATAGGGAATTCCACTTCATCGTTTCTTCTCGCGCAATTCCTCGCTTCAGTAGCTCAGCGACCGGCTCCTACGCCGTCGTATATCCTTAGACATGTCTGCATCAAATTCCCGGAAGCGAGCAGCCCCCGGTGCGACGCCAGTCGTACCAATCCAGCGGAATGTGCCGCAATCACATCCAGCCGATCATAGTACTGGAGCGAACCCTATGATGCAATGGAATACCGCTGGCGGTGCGACCGAGCCGACCGACTACTTCAGTGCTGCCACGGCACACCGCGAGGATCCATATGGGCTTGCGCAAGCACAGCAGACATACCCCGCAGCCGTGAATGCGCCATCGAATTCACTTGCACGGCGACAAACGAACCGTGCTCTTGTTCCCACGAACCTAAGAGCTTCCTACGACCCTTCTTCGGACCAATGGAACGCTTTTGGCGATGACGGCCTCCTCGTTCCGCAGACCGCGACGGAGGGCAGGGTGGAGCAGGACAACGTGGAAGTTTTAGAAGAAATGGCCCAGAAGGCGAAGCGAGAAGCTCAGGCCAAGAGGAAACAGATTCCGCCATTCGTTCAAAAACTAAGCAGGTAAGCTTTTGCAACGGGACTCTTGGAAGCAACGCCACAAACTAATTCTTAAATCAGTTTCCTGGAAGAACGAAAAAATGAAGATTTAATTCGCTGGTCAGAAAAGGGCGACTCTTTTATAGTACTGGACGAGGATGAGTTTGCCAAGACACTGATTCCCGAGTTGTTTAAACACAATAATTATGCGTCTTTCGTGCGACAGCTCAACATGTATGGCTTCCACAAGTGCGTGGGGCTTTCAGACAACTCCATGAGAGCAAGTGAGCGCAAAAACAAGAGTCCAAGCGAGTACTCGAATCCATACTTTCGACGAGGCCACCCGAATCTTCTATGGCTTATAAATAAACCGAAGAGCGGTGGCAAATCGAAAAAGGGCAACAAGGGCCCGGACGGCGACGGAGATAGTGAAGAAGAAGTCATCCACGAAGATATCTTGGCTCATCAGGGTATCCCGTCGGCCAATAACACGAACCGATCTCTACCCGCCGCTGGGACTGATGCCAATCAGGCTCTCCCCAAGAAGGAGATGACATTGATCAAAGAGGAGCTACAGAAAGTGCGAGAGCAGCAGAAGCTGATTCTCGGAGCCATTAACCGTCTACAGCGAAACAACAACGACTTATACAATCAGGCGATGTTGTTTCAGAGCCAGCATGACCGGCATCAGAACTCGATTAATGCCATCCTCAATTTCCTAGCCAACGTCTTCAGAAAGACGTTGGAAGATCAGGGTAACCCGCAGAATGTCGGAGATATCATTTCTAGCATGATTGCCAATCAAGGCCAGCAGCCAACCCACCAAGGCAGTGTTGTTGATCTGGGAGATTTCTTCCAGGCACACCAACCTAGCACCGCCAGCTCAATGAGCGTTCCTACACCTAGAAAGACTCAGAAACTGCTCCCAGGAATCCCCCTGGCCAACCAGCCATCAGTCCAGCCGAGCCGGTCGCCGTCGACCAGCAGCACACCGTATCTCCCAGTTGGGGCTCATCCTGAGATGGGGCATGTTACTGAGCTGCTCGATACGTCACCTTCGGATACGACACCAAACCTCAGGCAAGAACTCGAGGCCAATCCCCACGAACGAATGATGAAGATAATAAATGACCACAATGCGAGCAATCCCCTTGATTTACCAGACGCAACTCAACTAGTGAACAATGCTCCGAATACTTTGAGCAACGACCAGAGGAGCAAACTAGTCGACTTGATGGCATCACAGTCGACATCTTCTGCGGTGCCAAACATGCCTGCCGTGTCTGATCCTTTAGCCAAAAGACCTCCTGCCACTGCCGCGTCAGCCGTCCCTCCTCCAGCGCAAGGCGGTAGCCCCGTAGCGCCATCGCTCTCACCGATCATGCGGTCACCGACTATGCCAGCGCCATCCCTGCAACATATTAGCACGAACCAGACTGAACTCGAACAACTCAAACGACTACAGAATGAACAGGATGCAAAAATCCACGAGCTAAGCGGCATCTTGGGGCCGCTGAGTCCAAATGGACACATTCCAGGCATAGACGATGGAAACGAAGCCTATTTCGACGCTCCACCTGTCGATTTGGACCAGTTCTTTGATAGCAACGCCTTTCTGAATGATGCTCACTTTGGAGACGGAAATGATTTCAATTTCAATATCGATGCTGATGGACTTCACAACGGCCTTGATATGGCTAACCACAAGTTTGATACTCCAAGTCCTGCGGGAACTGAGGAAATTCACCGAGATGACCTGGGGTTGAACGGTAGCCCTAATCACGGGAATAAGAGGCGGCGCATGGGTTGATGTTTTTCGGCGGTCGACTGCCCATGAACTTGAACATTTTGCTGCTCTGCGCAATATGGGGGGATTCTGGTAGCCCAATATGTTTTGGCCTAAATATTCCATGTGACGTGGCTCAAACTGGTTAAAACAAGCTGCCACGAAGGTGAAATACACACATGGTCTTGCTATCAATTGAATGCTCCCAGAAAGAGTTGCCGATATATATGCCACAGATTTATCAAAATCAACAGAGAAGGCCGCAACATAAAAGAGGCGAACCCGCGATGGGGCGAAATGGGGATACAAGGCATCTACTGGAGCAATGTTAAAGGACTAGCTTGTTTAATGAGGAGCCCCTCTTTCACATGAAACATATTCAAACAAAGACTTCACTTCGCGCTGCTATAAAAACAAAAAAGTTTCTGTCGCAGCATATTATTTGGCTTCATTCGATACGGGAGGAAGGAATTGGTAGAGGCGTTTCCATGGTGGGCTTACTGTTTTTCTTTTCTTTTAGCCAGCAGTGGCAATAGCTAGTATACAACGTACGAAGGGGGTTTCTTCTAAATAGACATTGTACGGAGTTTGGAAGCATACCGTTTCGAAACAAAGCCCAGAACAGAACAGAACAGAACAGAACCACATTATTTTCCCTTTCTTTTGTTCTTTCTCCAAAGCGGTAGCTATCGTTCAAAATTTGCAACCCGCTGCTCATTGGCCTTGAGCTTGAACACATGAGTATATGAATGGATATGACTTGGTATTGTGATGAATTTGGAAACTACAGAGAAAAATATGTCAGTCGTGTTCAGGAGAGTTTCCGAGTGATGTTTCTGATCCTTTTTGGCTTTGTTTTGCATGTTTTCCTTGTCTGTTGACGATACTACTGGTTACAGGCCGCTCTGAATGGATTTATTAACTCGGCGGGAACTCCTGCGGCTGAGCTACTTGCCAATACCAGAAAATATTGAACAATTCTGTTTTTTTACACGATAGAAATGAGATACCTCCGCTGTTGTCGCGGCTCTTCAGAGACAGTTTTTGCACCTCGATACAGCCCCAATGGTGCGCTTCAAGTCGTTCCCGATGAAGAGCCTCAAGTGATTCCCACTGATGAGTCTCAAGTCATTACCAACGATGCGTCCCAATTCATTTCCGATGATGAGTCCCAAATCATTCCCAATGATGCGCCTCAAGTGATTCCCAGAGATGAGCCTCATTTCATTTCTGATGATGCACCGACTTTGAGAATATGCTTTGCAGCCATGGCCCAAGGAATCAGAGGAAGTCGGTGGAAGTGTCGAGAGTACCAGATCAGGTTTCAAAACTTGGTTACGTGGCGACATATATTTGATCATCTTGACACGCCGTCTGTACCGGATTCGGACTCTTTGGGTCAAGGAGATGAAAGTAGCAGCTACAACAATACAGAGCTTTATATGACGACAGCAGCGTATGGCGAAGAAGAAGCGTTTGAAGTAGAATGTGATGGAAAGATTGGCGATAGCAGGGCTGCCAAATCCGAGAGTCGCTGGTCGCTCTCAACTACGCTCTCGACTTTGTCCTTGGAGACTGTTCGCGCTTCTGCGAAGAGCCATTCTAAAAAGAAGACGTCGACCAAGACATCTCTACCTTCTGACTCTGTGCAAAAGATGCGCCTCAAGTCTAAACAGACAGACTCCTCGAAGCACTCACAACAACCTCCCACCTATACTCGGTCCCAACAGCAGCATGCATCATATAATAGTGCTGACGGTGCTGAAGAAGAGAAACGACGCCGCCATCAAGACGCACTTGAGCAGCTTGAAGCAAACAGCTTTCAACCACAATTGGGCACTCTCAAACATCAAGCATGGTCCAAGCTACGCATGCTTATCGCCAATGGCTTGGATGAAGAAGCAAGAGAATATTTTCCCAAAGTAGTGGAGGGGCAAGAGGCTCTTTTGCTGCCCATCACACAGAAGAGAAATTCTTTTAAGGTGAATATGCAAAACACGAGAGCTTCGGATATCGAAGACGCGAAAGCCGCTTTGACGCAGATTGAATATTGGAAATGGAGGAATGTTGTCATCTTGGTCAGGGATGGAGATACGCCTCTGGAGCAGACAGAGTGGCGGATAATGGAGAAGCCGCTGGTGCTTGATTGGGCATCCTCTTTCATTTGAAGAAACGAATCATCAATTTATAGGTTGAGTAAAAGTTGGAGAGATGGATGAGAAAAAAGGGATATATAATGAGTGAATGTGATGTGTATGGAGAAAAGGCAGGTTGAGATGGAAGGCTGGTCATTAAGAGGTCTCCAACGGAGTAGAATCTAATACGTTTTAATTTTGATATATTTAAAAGCTAAATTATATAATTCAATAACTGAATTGATACTACTATCCAAATGGTAAAGCTTATTGCCAGAATAGCGATGCCTTGAATAAATTTGAAGTTATAGATTGTCTACCTTTAGAGCTGATTACCTAATCGGGCTTTAATCCATATGCCCATAGCACCGCAGCAATTCAGGACCTGAAATGTTGCAGCTTGATCAAACACAACTCACCAGCCACAATGTCCGTCACGCTTCACACGTCGCTTGGCGACATCAAGATTGAGGTCTTTTGCGAGAGCGTCCCCAAGACAGCAGAGGTATTTCTTTCCTCACATCCACCGCAGTTCACAAGCAATCGCCTTGCTCTTCAGCCGCTAACATGCAGTGCCTCGCAACAGAACTTCCTGGCTCTCTGCGCCTCCGGCTACTACGACCAGTCGCCCTTCCACCGCCTGATCCCCAAATTCATGGTGCAAACGGGAGCGCCCGCCAACCCGACAGCCGAGAACCCAAAGGGCGGCCAGTCGATCTGGGGCGGGCCCTTTGAAGACGAGATCCGGCCCGCGCTGAGACACAGCGGCAGGGGCTTCGTTTCCATGGCCAACAAAGGGCCCGGCACCAATGGCTCGCAATTCTTCATCATCTTGGACAAGGCGCCTCATCTAGATGGCTTGAATACCGTGTTTGGCAAGGTGATTGGCGACGAGGGCCTGGTGACGCTGGCCAAGATGGAAGCTGTTGAGGTGGATAAGAAGAATCGTCCGAAAGAGCCGTTTCGAATTGAAAAGGTGACGATACATGCGAACCCGCTGGCTGAATAGAGAGGAGCTGCGAATCCCGAGTCGTTTGGACAAGGGGCGGGAAAAAGAAACTATACGGAACGAGGCCGTAGTCGAGATCAGATGTTTCACCAACAAGAGCTCGGCTGCGGAAATCTTGCTTCTAATGGCGTAATGCAACGCTGGCCGAGGCCTTACGAAGCGAGCTTACACTACTTTGTAGCATTGGAAAAGTCGAAGAGTCTAGCATTCTTGCAAAGGTTACAATTCTGTTTACCGTCGGAGGCATAGGAAGGTAAACTCTGGCCTATTGCTACAGAGTCTCAAAACTGAGAAGACGGTACGCCATGGAACCGGAAGCAGGGGAGGAGGATACGGGATTCAACGATGATCCCGGCAGATTGACAGACTTTTACATGACAACTGGCCATGACATTCTCAGCGAGCGAGTCCGGATTGACAGTCCATCGGCATTATACCTGAAATGTATATGCGCTATATGAAATAGAATGATATGAGATAATAAGCAGTCAATTCATTAAACCTGACAAAAATGATAAGGCACTTGCAGCACATATGTGCTCTAGAATACAACCAGCTGGCACCAGAGCCGATCTCATGACCAAGTGAATATACAGATATTGTTTAATAGAGGTTGAGAATTATTGCTGCGTAAACTGTACATGTATATAGTATCTAGCTTGACTCAGTTTGACAGCAATACACTTTACATCTATGCAAGCAATGCATCAATAACATGCAAGATCAACTTGATAGTGATGAGCGTTCTAAACGCCAACTACACAGCAATGGCCGACATACTCATCTCCGAGGCTGAGACCACTCGCTGAGTTGCAAATGAAGAGGAAGCAAAACCGCGAGCATTTGCTCTGCATCGTTACTACAACGACAAGCATTCATCCGAGGAGTAGTAGTTGTACCATTTGCCTCATTCCAGGTTTGAGAGTGCTAATAATGTTGCCATATTCTCTCATCTGGGTAGTTTGGCATTGTTGATGCCGAGATATGTACCTCTAGGCATACATGAAGCAAAGGTTCTTGACATACTGGCAGCTGTTTGTATTTTTTTTTTTTTTTTTTTTTTTTTTTTGCATCCCCTACTGAGAGGCCGTAACGCTATTATAACGTGTCTTTGGGCGTAAATTCTCGTATTCTTCTAGCAATAACTCCACGTCATAAGTTCCATTGACTGCTATAGAACAAATCACATCCAGCTCAGCTATCTATCTTCTGACTTTGGTAATATCTTTTTCCTGTTTACTCTTACATCTTTCTCATCGTCGACATCCTCTTTCTCATCAACATCAACCAAGCATACGTGACAGGAAGATAGACGCTGCCTAAGAATGCTCTTTGTCGTTGTTATAGCCGCAATTTGAACAAGACATGTAGTAAACAAACGTTTTTCGAGTATTCTGTACAGCGATCCGCTGAGATCTTGGTACCTTAGAACTCCAAGTCTATGGCGTAGTCGCCACCATCGATTTCCTCTTGGTCAGTAATTTCTGATATCAATGTTTACACATCATATAGTACCACGGCAACGTCTGTCTTGATGACACCATCGCGAGCAAGCATAATTATGTATAAATAACAAGATAATGTGCGTGTGCCAGTCACAATGCCCATGGGGGTAGAGGCAAGTGTGAATGTTTTTCGGCATCTCTGACTGCCTGGATCTTTTGGTGCCGCTGCCTTGCCGATTCGTCGCTGCTGGCTAAAAATTTGGCTGTAGTGATGCGGTGAAGCTTTGAATTTGCTCTTTATCTTGAAGATGTGTCCGTTGAGGCTTGTGGCGATGAGAACAAAACGATGCTTAAGCCGCTCGTCACGGTTGGGGCCTCGGCCGTCGTGCACCGACCTTAGGCCGGAGACTGGTACGGAATCGATCATTTCTAAAATCAAAGCCCCAGACGGGGTGATTTTAGATTTTGCGCTGGGCACTCTAGCAAATTGATAACATCGCCGTCGATCCGCTGCATAGCTGAGAAATGAGGGCGCTTGTGGCTGCCCATCGCAAGTCGGGTCTCTATAGGTTCATGAGCTCTGCCATGCTGATATATGACCAGACTGCTTAGTGAAAGTCTGTTAGCAACTAAGCAATGCCAGACAAAGGAAACATCAAGTACATACGTCAAGTTTCCGAGCAGAGCTCTAGGTTTTTAATTCCATGGATTTCCCAAAAAGCCATTTGAGAACATCTTTCGTTCTTCATCTATAAGTGTTCGACCGGATAGTTATTTTGTAGCATATCGTCTTAAAGATTTGTTGTCTTTCCAAGTCATGTAATCTGTAGTGTCGGTGAGCATATTAAACATCTCTCCATGTCAATTTGTAAATACTCATCAACCCGGCAATCCAGTCTGGCAAGTTGCATTCCGCTGAAAGCTGTCGAGCCTATTTGGTAAGCACCCTGACGGTCGTGGGATGAGTCTTTGACCACCATGATGAACCGGCGTACTTGTTTGCTTTGCCCAAGGCGGTGCAGGCGACCATGGACCTTCAGCAGCGCTTTAGCATTATGGCAGAGAGTTGTAGTAATTCCTATGCAGCACGCAGTGTTCAGGTTGATTCCTGTGCTTATGATATTAGTGTTTGCGATGATCACCTTGGCTGATGATTCTGGGTCTGTAAATTGGATGGTATCGATCTTGGCTCCAGCCTTGCTAGTAGACCGCATAGTCAATATATTGAGGCCTGTTATAAGCAGCGTGATGGACATGTGTCTATTAATTAGTTAGCATTAACCATTTTGAAGGGTAGCACGCTGTTTCACTAGACCTCTCGCGAACTATGTTGGCGAGATCTCTTGTGAACTGGAATCTTCGCCGGGACCCTCCCTGAATAGGGAATTTGGGGGGAAGTTCTTACCGCGAGCTCCATGAGTTGTCAAATGACAATCCTCTCGTGTTCGTGGACGAAAAGGTGGCAGAGCTCCAGCGATCGAGCCAGTCCAGCTATCCCGCTGGGCTAAGGGCATAGGGATCCAGGCAGGTCCTGGAAAACACTTAATAATCCAGGCCAACGTTGTTATCAGACGTTGACAGCTTTTGTAGGTGCTCAACGCCCACTGTTGGGACATCGTCGTTAGCTGCTGCCTGTTTCGAAATTCGGTGAGCGGTCTAGTTACGCCACCGACGTCTGAACCATAGATTGCTTCGATGTTTGTGTATAGGATTACATAGGCCATGAGCTGGTATGCTTCTTGCTGTAAAACATCCACCTCTTCCGTGATGCTGTAGTTGCCGCTCTGGAAGTCCCGCTTCTTTGCCTCCAGGTCATGGTAGTTTTCGACTATGAATCGTCCAAGGCGTAGTGGAAAGACTGTTATCGAGATTTAGACGGTACGTAAGGGAGAGGGGCCACTGGGAGCCGCTTACCATGTACTTGGACTGGGAGACAGGAACTGGTTGGCCACAGAGGGCACAGGCAACCTCACCGGCTGTCGTCGCGTCAGCTTGCAAGGCGGGCTAGGTGGTGGGATGTTGATCCATTGGCAAGCTTACCGTTAACGCAGGGGTCATGTTTGCGTATAGGATCTTAGTGTTGCGCCAATCATAGGCGCACAATTCGCCTTCTATATATGCGCTGAAGTTTATACTTCCCTCCCGCTCGATGGGAGCGACCCCGTCTTTCGTGGGCGAGCATTATTCGAGCGTCATCTCCATTAGTAATGGATGGGCTGTTGGTTGTGTCTGTCCATGCTTCTTCATGTAGGCACGCCACACCACGTCAAACGTGAGTTCCCCGGTGGTGATTGTCATGGGAAGTAGGTTCGTGGTCCCGTCTAGCAGGATCAGCTTGCTGCATAAGGCGCGCATAAGCCCGACTAGTTGTCTTCAACTGTGGTGATTGTATGTGCTTCTTTCTCTTGACGGAGAAGTAAAAGCAGATGCGATATCTCCGTTGCCGACCAGTCTCTTTCAGCTGCTAAATTGTCCATGAATTTGGTCATGAAGCCAATGAGAGGTCGCCAAACATCTGTTGGAGCGACCATTATAAATGCCGTGAATGCCATACCAATGTTGTAGGATGATCGCGCTGTCCAATAACATATCCCAAGACAGCAAAAGGCCCAAGGTTTCAGTCTCCGCAGAACCATAGTCCATGGCAGCTCCGTCCCGGCCATGGATAATAACCCACATATAATGGCTAAAGGGTTGGTGAAAGTATGCCCGTACTATTTCAAGGAGAGCAATCTCCTTAGAGCTCTCTGCACCCAATCAGGCAAACCAGACTGCAGTTCGGCAAGCGCTTGCCGTCTTTTGTTTTGAGAATATTGAAGACAGCGGGATGTGAAATACTGTGCTAGTTGACATCCGCCAGGTTGGTAAGATGTGATACTTTGTAATCTGGCTGGTTTGGCCAAGATTCTGGTGACATTGTTCGAGAAGTTGGGTTTGGTAAGATGATAAGACCGTACACTATCGTTCAAATCCGTACAATCTCCTTTCGCCGCGTTCTTCATCCATGGCAGTTGAAGACCCGCAATCTTATTTCATACATTTATACAATGGGTAAGTGGCGAGGATGCATGTAGCTTGATTGATAAAGATAAAGAGTTTCCAACCAGCGAGCACGCATATCGGTGGCTGGAGTAATAGCCAGCCACAGGTCAGCCAGGCTGAATCATAATAAGAAATCCATTTCAGTAAGATGTTGCAACTGTCTGTAGATGCTGCATCATTATGAGGGCGATGCCTCATCTAGGAGGCCTAATATCATCACATTGTAAGGATGGGAAAAGAAGAAGAATGATGAAGGAGGGAGAAAAGATTTACACCGAAGAGAGGAGAATTATGGCTTTTTATAGGCATATGCTCATCGGCAACGTGCAGGAAAGAGGAGGTGAATGCTGCCTCTGTGGTATCACAAACATGACTATCAAGGTGTCTTGACCGCGCTGCTACAGTAAAGCTGGATAAGAAGTTGGATAAGATTGAAAGGGTAGATTGATATTGCTGTCCTGAGAAAAGTGCTGTAGAAGCAGAATGCTAGTCCCACCTCAAATCGGCCACACTGTGACTTTGTCCCATTGCATACTACTAGTAGCACCAGAAATGACATTCGAGTACTCATCACAAAGCACACCCACGACGGGTTCACGGTTGTGGCCCAGCAATGCGCATCAAAAGAGAACAAATCCACAGAATGAATGAATATCCAGAGTCGCAACGTCAAAACAAAAGTCGCCCATGGCCAAAGCTTCGGAAGTGGCTTTCGAGGCTCAGCCCAGGCTAAACCGCAACAGGCGCCACAGGGGCGCTACCGCCAGGGCCCGCCGCGGGAACATGTACCTCCATGTCACTCCACCAGCGGATTCGCGTGGAGGGGTTACATTGCGAGATGTGACACCAATCCCGCGGTGCTGGAGACGCCCTGAAATGGAAGAAGAGAAAAGGGGGCAAATGAGAAGACGTGATGACAGTCGAATGACAGTAATAGTAAGAATAATAATAATAATAATAATCTGCAACTGAACAGGGATCTTGACGTCTTACTCTCGTTATTTGGCGCCGGTGCCTTGCATTTTTCTTTTTCTTGGGGTCTAAATGGATACGTGAGAGGATCCAACAAGGCTGACTGGACCATCAAGTTCTTACAGCGCGATTACAGGCACAGACAGGGTCGTGCGCCCGGATGAGCTTTTGCCGCGACAATCGCAGCGCTTAGCTTTGCCAATCTGCTCTGGAATAGAACACTAGCATCTGGTTTCCAGCGGTGGGGGTTGAAAAATCCGGTTCTCTGCCTTGCCACACAGCTCAGCGCGTCTAAAGCGTCTCTGGCCGCTCCCATTATGGAGCTTGTTGGGAAAATACGCCTTGGATCCCCCTGTTGCTGCGGTAAGAACTGGCGGCGCAAGGGACCAGGTCTCAGGGCGGTGGACGGCGACGCGGGTCTAGGGCCAGCAAATGACGACTGGAGCGCTGATATTGCCTCTATTACAGGCTACAAGCAGATGCCATGTCCATGACCTCGTTCGAGATGCGAATAAGCCGGATATGCGCGAGGCACGGCCGCGAAACTAACTGCATCGTTGTCTGCTTTTGGCAGTGCGGATAGCCCTTTTGTCGACTACAAGCGCGCGGGCAATAGTTGGTAAAAATGTAAGATTAAAGTGAATCTTGGCGCAAATTAAAAAGCAACAGGAAAAGAAGACGAGGGAAAAGAAGAGGAAGGCTACTGGTAGTATCAACGTGCGCACGCATTGCCATCAAGTCTCTTCTGAACGGTACCTGTGTGGACAAGCATTATTTGAAATCTTACGCTCAGTGACGTGACGCAGCCACAGCAGACGAACGCGTACTCTGCCCTATGCCACAGGCTGAATACGGCGTTAATCGCGGGGTACTTGTCTCGTGTAGAGCCTCATCTGGAGTATTGAGTGCGGCGGATGGATCAATCCCTCGTTGCGCTCATCCATATCAGCTGTCATCATATATTAGCAGTAGTTGGGGCTCATGGCATTTGATGGCATTTCGCATCTACATAGCCCGCACACCCAAATTGCAATTCTCTCTCGCCATTGACGTGCTGGAACCATCACGTCGCACAGCCGGTTCGCTTCTCCTCGCAAGGTGAGGAGCTGACGGACACCAGTTGGGACCTCACTGTGTTTGCACGGTATAAAGGCCATCGGCTGACCCGCATGCGGAGCATCCATCGACGGCTTCATTTCTGCTCTGCTCTGCTCTGCTCTGCCCTGCCCTGCTTTTGCTCGTGCTCGTGCTCGCAACAGGTCCCTGTGGGGTGCTGTTCTTGGACATAATTCGCACCGTCAGCTCAGGCAAGCTTCGTAAGAGGCGCAGGGCCGTCATCTCAACCGGGTCCGGCGCAAAACCCCCCGCTGGTCTGCTTGTATGAGCACAATCTCACCAACCTGCCTCAACCGTCGGCCGGGGGCTCTAATACGGGCAATCGAGCCAATCTAGGCCCCATCACCAAGACGGCGTTTTTTGCTGCTTCAACGCTGACAAGCGCCAAGTCGCCACAGCAGTGTTGCTTCCAATACCACTCGCAGGCAAAGGACGACACGACGCAACACACACCTCAGCAGGTACCTACCTATAGCTCGCTTTCCGGTCGAGATCCGGATTCCAACCACAGCACAGGCGGTCAAGTCAATATTACGTCCATCGCAAACACTTCCAGCACCCCGAGCTCTCAACCACAGCCGCCCTGCCCGCTATAACAGGCGCAGAGCCGCTGCAGCTGCTCCACTGAAGCTAATGCAACTGGGCTCCCCCGGGCCACCGATTTCAGCTGTCGACGAGGGTCGCCATTGCTCGGAACGCCTTACCTAAACCACAACCACACCCACTCGCTCTCTCTCCAGCTCCAGCCCAGGCTGCGTCAAAACCTCCCGCCGTCCACAGCCCGCCGCACCTGTTTGCGCAACCATCGACACACTCCAGCGCCGGCGCGCCGAGCCTGACGCCGTCCTTGACCTCGATTGCTGCGCCCTTGCTGAGAACCGCCCGGTCGAGGCGATCCGATCCCGCTGGCTCGAGCCCTGTGAAGCAGCAAATCCACCCGCCCGCAGCCTGCCAACCCCACCTTCGCATCGACCCGCCGAGCGCCTGTTCTTGTGTGTGCGTGTGTGTGCGTGCGTGTGTGTCTTGTGCGGAAATAGGGTATCGTGACGGCGACTCACCGAGCAGCTTATGCCTGCTGGTCATCTGCTGGCGACCCGGCCTTGGGGGAACCAAACATAGCGAATCCCACCTCTCCGAGCGCGCTGCCGACACCTTCTCCTGACCGCAGCCGAGCCTCCAGCGCTGCCGCTGACGCCTCCGCCACCTTGAGCGCATTCGTAATCCCCGAGACAGCAGCAGCAACGACGACAACACCATCCACGGCGGCGACAACTCACAGTTCTGCTGCAGCGACTGCGACGATAGCATGGCTTCTGCGCCAGCTAGCGTTCGGGTCTCCGGCCCTCCAAACAGGAGCTTCCTGGTGGGATATCCGGGCATCTCTGCGACGCTGGTACGTTGACGACCGCCTTAACCCCCCTAACCAAATCCCCCCCCTCTCTAGCCTGGAGATGCGGTGTCCAACAGAAGGGGAGGCGCACATGTACCACCTGGGAGGGCTTCGAGAGCTTGTTACTAACATGGACTTAACAAACATATAGCCGCGAATCGAGGGCAAGGTCGAGATTCGGCCGGGCCAAGGCTACTCTATGCCTGTGCCGGTATCCCTGGTGCGAATAAGCCTACAAAAGCGCGAGACGATACACCCCGACGCCGATAGTCTAACCAAGCGACACCTGGGCGCACCCCGAAAAGAGACTACCGATCTGGTCGGTAAGGAGGTGCTGCTATTCAGATGCTCATCGGGCAAGGGTGCCGAGGACGTGTACTCGATGGACCTACCATTCATCATCTTTATCCCCTTTGGCAGGGGCGGAGAGGAGACAAATCGAAGAATACCGCCGGCATCCCTACAGCTGCCCAGCAGGATTGCTGAGACATACTATGAATTAGTGGTGACGGTGCAACAAGGTCACAAAGATCAATACAGATACAGCTTCCCACTGCCCATACTGCGATACGACACACTGTCAACGTTTGGCATGTACAATAAACCCGAAACAAAGCAGATTACCAGCGACAACCTCGTCCACCTCGCAATCAACCTGCCGCGCTGGAGCTACGGCCCCAATGATCCCATAACCGTATACATCAAGATCGCTCCCAACTCTGACTGGTGGAACAAGGCCAAGAAGGTGACCATAGACAAGATCACGCTCGGGATAGAAGAGGAGATTACTTTCAACCCGGAAGGAGACGAGCCATCCAAAAAGGTCAACAAGCTGGCGAAACAGGTCCAGGTGGTGAAAACAAAATTACCAGAAGCAGGATACGCAACCAACATCGGCCTAGTGTTCCCCGCGAAAGATCTCAGAGATTCCGAGGGCATCATCAAGAGGGGTAGGCCGGCGTTTCCTCAGTATGAGGTTGCCTCATTTACCACATCATCAACGCTATATAAGATTGAGTTTTACCTCAGCATCAAGGTATGGCTGATTTCCTTTCCCTTTTCCGCAAAGTAAAGATGGAGTTGAGCTTTTTATTTACATGGACACATGTGCAGGTACAAGTAAGTGGTGCTAGAGACCTCCACCTACGACAACCAATCGTCATCTGCCCCCTCGATCAACAAGGCTGCAAGGAGGAAATGGACGCCATCGAAATTGCGGCTAGAGAAGCCTCACATGTCGATCCAAACAATCCCATGGTCCCAGCTCGTACCATTGTCCTGGCTAACGATCGAGATGCGTTGCGAGCCTTGGGCTTGTGTATGGTTGGAAAGGTAAAGAAGCCATTTATCGAGTGACGAACTGGATCCTACGCATGAACCAAATTCAGCCTGCTCATCACACTCAACGGTCACGATGGACGAAATCGACAGACAAGGCAAAGGCGCGATGCTCGCTATAAAGCAGAAAAACTCTTTGCTACATCTGCGCCGCGAAGAGCAAACATAATGTATACCTTCCTGCATTCGCTCTTATGGAGCGCTTTTTTCAATCAAGAAAAAGAAGCAGATGGGCGTTACATTGATTCGGCGAGACTGCGAGATTCAAACGTTTTGACGCGAAACGATGTCCAGGCGACATTACTGGCCGTGGAGGTTTTCACATAGAATTACCATTGGCTAGCAACACACGGTGGTACACCATATACCCATTTGAAAAAGGCGTTTTTGTTTTCTATTTTGGTTCACTGAGGGTGGGAAGTGGAACTGTTTCTCGATTTGACACAAAGATATAGTGCATGGCGTTTCAAGGCGATCTTGGACCGCTTTCATAGTCTGAGAGGGAGAGCTTCATTCTGGGAGAAGCCTGCACACTGGCTGAGGGCCAATACGCACAACTCTTTGGCACGGGCAGTGTGCCAGATATTTACGCCGAGGTGGATCTGGGAAGATGGCTTCTCTGAAAACTGGAAGTATCCCTTTTATTTTACTTTCTTGTTCTGCTGCCTCACTCTCTCCCTCTTCTTTATGTATTCAACGATGACGAAGTTGACGAGATATTGGAATTTTAATACATGTACTGTAGTATATATTGCTTGCTGTTGAGAGCTTGGAGGAAAATTTGGCCTAGATGCACTGTACATTTGTTTTACCAAGGTAGCTAGCGAAGGGGGCACGAAGATGATTCATCCCAACGATACACATTAGTACTATGAGAAAAAAAATTGAAAATATTATAGAGTAAATACAGTTCCGTGATGCTAGAAATATTGAACACGGAAGAGAAAAACAACTCATACATACAAAGTTAACATGGTGCTATCAAGGTATATACACATATATAGGCATATATATATACAGAAAGAATGAAACAAAAAAAACGATGCGAGCCGTAGGGATCGAACCTACGCGTGCGATGCACATTGCGGATCAAGTATATCAGTCGTCGGGAAACCCGGGACCACCTAAACACAACGCCTTAACCACTCGGCCAGACTCGCCATCACGTGTCAACGTTGATGTAGAGTGTATAGTCTAAACTTATCAAGGTCTCTGCAGCATTACTCACAAGAAATTCCCGTGTCCACCCCCACCTTTAGTGAGATTTGGTATCGCAACAAAGTGCAACATCGTCATCCTAGCTGAATTTTTTCTTTTCTTCCCTATGTTGACTTTTTCTTCTTCTTTCTTTTTTACAACGATGATATAATTATTTTTTTTTTCGTTTCCTTTCTTTCGCGGCAAGAGTTGCATATATAAAGCGCCCTAGTTTCTTACTAAAGCTTCTTCCTGCGCCCCGATCATATAAAGACACCTGAAGTTGGGCAGAATTTATTTGTGCTCTCGTGGAGCTTGCTTTCTGCGCCATAGCTACCCGGCACCGCGCCTTTGGCTTTTTTCCCTGTACTTGTTTATTTTTTTGGAGAGAGTGGGCACAGCAAATTTGATACGACATGGCTTTCGACGACGACGACAGCCCGCTGGTAGCAGGGCCGGTGTCGGCGGATGGCGAAGGGAATGCCCCGACGGCGGAAGAGACTCTCGAGGACGACATGCCCGACTATAAGCTATTTGCATCTGCATTTTCAAAAAAGGGCGTCTCGAGCCAGACGATACGAAAGGGCGAAAAGGACTTTGAGGCACACGGGACACGATCTCAGGATGGCGCGCTGGAATCGAGTCGCAGAGCGCTAGAAGACGTCTTGGGCTACACGAGGATACATCGGGGCGATGCGTGGGCTAGAGGATGGTGCTTCCCGGACTTTTGGCTGGATGAGGAGAATGAAGCGACAGATTATGAGGGGATGTGGCTAAAGGATCGAGTGGTGGTTATGGAACATGAGAAGGGAGGCTGGATGAAAGATATAGGACGAGTGGCGTCTGGAAATAAAGATCAGCTCGGCGTGGGAAGGTTATGGCTGCTCCCAGAGGAAGCCATCTATCTGGTCGAAAGAGGCACCGTGGACCTGTGGTGGCCGTATACGGACTTTGAAACCCTCCTACCCAAAGGCAGTACTCCTGGAGGGGCATCCCGTCCTGGGTTTGGCCCTGATGACTATGATGTTGGGTTGCCGCTGAGTCTTGAAGCCGCTTATTCGCTCTTCACCGGCTACGAGGGCGAGCAGGGCAAGACAACGCTTCCCAAATATCAAGTTTATGCGCATTTAAAGCGTGCAGGGTTCAACATCCTTCGTGCGCCGCTCGAGCAGCCGAGGCCAGAATCCACAGAGGTTTCGCAGACACTTTGGCAATGGCTCTTCTCCTTTGTCAAATGGGAGTCGGGCCAAGAAAGAAAACAGCGGCACCACCAGCCTTTCGGTCCACTCGTCGCCCCAGGACTTTACCGGGCTTATCGGCCTATATATCAGCAACTAGCTCTTCTCCCTCGACACAAACCTCTCTCTGTACCACCAAACCCGTCTAAACCAGAGGACCCCTTCAGGGTGCACTTCCATGTATGGAAACCTGGTGCGGGAGGATTCTCCAAGAAGAACCCTCCACCCCCCGACTTTCGCATCGCCGTTGCCGACACGACCGACTCATGCCTGCCCACGCTGGAACAAATTGAATCGCTGCTCGAGTCTACGCCGTACGATGCTGCGCCGGAAGCTTGGCGGGGACAGCCAGGGAAACTGTACCAGCGACTGAAACACGGTCACAGAAATGTAATCGTGGCGGTTGTGGATAGGGGATTAGTAAACTTTATGAGGTTTGGAGAGGGCGCGTTTGGCGAAGAGAAGCTATTTGAACGATTTGACAACAGAGGCGCTGGTGGGAGGGGAGGAAAGAAGGGCGGTCGCGGAGGGGCCCGAGGTAGAGGTAGAGGCAGAGGGCGCGGAAGAGGAGGACGATGATTAAACAAATTTTAGTATTAGTTGAGTTTTGATTTGTCGAAGGGGGGTTGGTTTATGGAAGGATTTTCATAACCCGGAGTTTCACGAGTGTGTTTAGGGTTTCCCAACTCGAATCTAATGTTGAGAGAAAGGGGGGGAACCAAGGTAAACTGTCTAGATAGGATATATCATTTTACGCTTTACGTGCATACAAGATAGATGACTTGGTTGTTGTTTGAGTCAACTCAACTCCTTTGAGCTCGTGTTTTGGGAGTGGGTCAATCAAATCAGATTCGTCGGGTAAATTGCCAGTTTTTGCTCAAAGACCGACGGGATTATTTTCCTCCTTTTGACAACAACCCCCTTGGTCTTTTTTTTTAAGTTAAGTTACAAGTTATTAATGACGACATAAACTTTTCTGCTCTTTTTTCGGTATTCGGCGAAGAACGATGCTGGGTTTTGTTTAAAACGTTGGTCGTTGGAAACGCAAGGCTTCACAATTCTTACGAGAGCATGACAGTTTTATGGCGTATTTTTTCCCGAGCCGTTTGCTGAAAGTGGGGAGAGTTGACGGTTAGCCGTTGAGGACGATGCACGTTTTGAGTTTCCTGTGATTTTTTGAGACAAAGAGTATAGATAAGTATAGATAGATGGGAAACAAAAAGAGGAAAGGGAAACAATCAGGCGGGGCTTCGTTTACTCAACTCCCGCTGAGTAAGTGGAAGCTTCTGGGGATTTTTAGTTTGCGCATGGATCGAGTTGCGTGTTTTACGATGCAAAGTGAAATACTATATTACAGGTAAATTCCTACTACAAGTTAGTTGGTGGGATATTTGCGCTTTTTAGGGAAGTTTTCGGCGAGTCATGATGTATTTTCCAAAGTTCTGGGCGTCTCGCCTTTCTAGAGCTGTCCGCATACGGTAATTCATGTGAATAGGCGTAATGCTTATTGCGGATACTAAGTCCGAACGGTTCTTCTCTTAAAATATCGGAGATTGGGGAAAACTGGATCCCAAAGCACTTTCCAAAACGGGGTAATTAATCATAGTTGCGGCTTTCGCTGGGCGGCGGAAAAAAAAAAAAAAACGTTTGGCAAGTTTACTTTTCTGTCTCTTTTTGTTTTTCCATCCAGCCAGGACGACAACTCGTACATGGGTAGCTTCTTCTTGGGCCTACTTTACATAACCTTGCATGCAAGTACCTATGTATGGGCGTTGGATAGTATACAAGTTTGCCCTGGTCTTCTGACGTGATATTTCGCCCGCAGTTTTTTTTTGGCCACCGGTGGGTTTACAAGGCACGGAGATGGCCCGATAAATGGGTGAGCGGGTGCCATCATGACTTGTTCTCGCGAACTTTTGACACTATTCTTCCGTGTAATACTTTGGGTGCTCGCTCTCGCTCTGACACGACGCATGACGCATGACGAAAAAACGCTTGAAGATCCGTTGTTTGGACCCCTGCAACTGTCCAAATTTGGAAATAGGTCCCTACTTTTTTGCACATGAATACGCACGGAATCGAAGGACAAAACAGAATGGGCAAACACGAAAAAGTAACAATAACTAATACTAACAATAGTTGGATAAATGCTCCGTCTACCGTACCAATAACCTACTATAGTCACGATACCTACCTAGGTAGATAGCGCTCAGTAGTTTGTGTTCTTGTATATCAAAGCAACGAAGCCAATAATCAAGTCCAGACGTATATACCCACCCCCTCCCTTGTGAAAGTGCGTATATGTACCTAGTTAGACTTAAAGAGAGGAAAAGGGAAAAAAAGGGGGGGGCGTGAGAGGAATAAACACGGAGAGAAGTGGGCTGAGAATGGATGATCCACCCTTTGTCAGATTGGCGGCCCTGCACGCACTGAATTGAAAAACTAACCTACTAGACGGGCTCGATTATCTGTATGTATGTACAAGCGCAGCGCTTTCTCTTTTCGGAATTTGCAAAAAAAAAAGACAAAGCCACTCCGTTTTAAAAATAGGGCGCTTGTTGCTTTGTTTGTGGTAGATCTGTTTAAGCGATATATGAGCTTTGGTGATTAGTGTGGGTTTCTAGTACCAGCTGGTGTATTATGGCGGACAAAAGAAGAAAGTGCAGGCATTTTTGCTTGATTCAGTAATCATTAATCCGTAGTGAAATAAAGCTTCTCCCAATAAACAGAATTGCTGGGACTGTATTGTATACCATCTCGCATGTCATGTATAATGTACTGAGAAATAGGTAAGAGGGGGGTGGGACATGCACATGCAAATGAAAAGAAGGAGAGTGAGAAAGAGGCCATGGCGGGTCTCAAACGCCTTGATCTTCCTAAAAGTTACACGAGTACATTGTTGTGCCCGATATGGAATATGCCCGATTGCGACTTTTTTGGCAACGGATTTATCAAGTAACAACGCGGAAATATCCTTTTTTTTCCCCCTATACAGTGTGTTGTTAGGTTGGGCATTCTTTTTGCGATCAGGCAAATCCATTCGGCTGCTTTGCCGTAAACAGGCAGTGGTTTTTTTTTTTTTTCTACATAAACGATTAGAAGAGAAGGCTATCATATTTCCTCTTCCTGCTGCTCCTTGTTGTACCTAGCTTTTTAGACTTCAGGCTAGATAAGCTCACGAAAGAGAGAGAGAGTTGAAGAAAGTTTATGTCGTCAACAGCTAATCCACAAGGGAAAAAGTATCATCCCCTCCTTTTTTCCGAGTATCAACGACAAATTTCACAATACATGCGTTCTGCCTCGAGGGATTGTAGAATCCTGTCAACAAAAGAACAGAATCCGGGCCGTCTTGTGTTTAAACCGCTCAAGCCAATCCTTAGATGCGACACGCTCCCTTGTTTAGTTTTGTTTTGTTATTCATCATCTCGCCCCTTCTGACGGATGAATGCATCCGGCGTGTACTCGCATAAACCGTGTTTGTCCGAGTGGCTGGCTGCGGGAGGTGGTGTTTGTTGATCAGCCATTCAGGCAACACCAGCTGGCCGGCTAACCACTTGGCTGCATGCGAGTTATGGCAAAAAAAGAAAAAGTTCCAACGCAACATGAGTTGTTTTAACAATTGGTTGTGGCACACTTTTTTTGTGCGTATACGTACATCCACAAGATTGCGCTACAATGATCAATACTACCAAGACTAACAGCACAGTCACTTGGCCTATTAAGCTAGAGTCAGTTGCTGGACGCCACCCGCTACTACTACTAGGCAGGTACTACTACTTTAGATGCTCGATGTATCATTGGCTTGGGCCTCGCTTGGCTCAATATCTCTCAAGGTTGTTTTGCTCAAAGTCTCTCTCTCGCAAATAGTTGTCAGTTTGAGAAAAGCGGGGAAAGAGCTAGAAAGGGAAACGCCCGTCACATGTGCAATGGAATCAGCACGTATTAGTCTCCTTAGTATTCCATGACTGTATTATGACTAAGTGTGCGAAATGAGGATTTACGGAGCGAGTCTGTATTATAGACTAGGTACTGTAGTATACCGTTCACTTGCCGCAGCTATGCCGCAACGCAGGCCGGGGCGTACGGGCTGGAGAGTCCCAATGGAGAAAGCGAGATAACCGATGCAAATTCCCGACTCTGACCGAGATGGCTGCTGATTCGTTCGGGAAAAAAGAAGAGCAAGGCAGAGTCGCAAGTCGAACAAGCAACCAAACGGAATGGAATCATTCGGTGCTGCGGGAGGCCACCACTTGCTCTTTACGCCCCCTCTCGTATGCTGATTCGTAAACTGGCGAATGAATCTTGAATGATCGACCCGAAACCAACTGTGGACCCTCGGCTAGCTCGTTTCCAGTTCCTGCTCACCCGTTTGGGCCTATTTCGCGTTTGCGTATACGTCAAGAGTTGAAAAAGGGCAATCATGTCATGATTGTTAATCAGACAGTTTCTACTTACTGCCCATTATAGCAGACAACGAATGCGGAAAATGCTTGTTGCTTTTAGGGTCCTTGGAATTCATAGTTGCAGTGCTAGCAGCAATGATTAGCGCTGGGTTAGTAAAGAACGTTTGGAATTGCTCGTGTATTCGCGGTGCTAGTATGCTTTGGGCATTTATTTGCCCAGGTTAATTACTCTGTTTAAGCCTAGCCCCCGTCAGCTCTTTAAACGCCCCCTGTTCTTGTTTATTATCTTGGGCTAATTTATGATGGCGATGTTCAACATCATTTTACCACAACTGGTATAATGCAAAGAGCGTTTTGTAACAAGGAGAAAATGTTCGCATCATCACACTATTTGCGACAGTTTTCAATCATGACTCGAGTAAGAAGCAACGCCTTGCAAGTATTATGATGAGCTGAGTCAGGAGATGCACCACGACTTGCGGATCGCCCACTTTCATATGTATGAATAATAAAAATAGGCCTAGACGCTGACTGATATCTTACAAGCAATAAAAAATACAACTACCATGACTCTATCCCAGCAAAAGGCAGCCGTAATTAGCCCGCTGTCAGCTATACTAAGGCCAACCGGTAATTCAATAGCTTCCTGAACTCCTTCTGGTTTCTATTTGACCAGTTGACCAGGCAGGTAGCTAAGATATGTACTAGGGCTTGAGTGACGAACCGGCGTTTACGATGCCGTGCTATTGCCTACTCGGAATAGTGATTTCAAAAGACATGCCATGTACATATGAGGAAACCCTAGCGAGACATCGTATTCGATGACATACAAGTATCTGAATATGGCAAACGCCCCACGGACAGGTAATCCACGAATACCCGGGAGGCGGTATGGAAACCCCCGTCCTTTTGAACAAGGTTAAGTAAGAGTAGCACTTCACAGCCGGGAACCATCTACCCGGTGTTCCAGTTTCCTATTCAGCCACGACCAGAAAAAAAAAATCCCTGCTGCCAATCCCAAGGTGGCCGGTGAATGGAGCAAAGCCCAGTTTGACGACAAAGTCGAGTTCAAAAAGCAGCCACGACAAGCAATGTCCGGTCTCCGTAATTAGGTTGCCACTAGCAGCCGCCGGGCCAAAAAGGTAAAAAAAAGGCTACCTGGAACTCGGAAATCTTACGGCGGCTCTCTTGTTGGAACGGGGTCCATTACGGAATGAAGTTTACTGTCCAAAAGTCCACATATGTACCCTGGTCATTCGGAAATACTTTCTACATGTGCCAGCCATAGCCTTGCCGACTGCCCGCTGCTGCTTTAAAAGCATCACCAGATCCATACTAGTACTGGCACTGCAAGCCCCGGGCTGAATGTGGGATGGAATTGAAAGAGGAAACAAAAGACAGCCAGGGCCATTGCGGGCTCTGGTTTTTCCCTTGTTGGGTGCGTTCGCTGCCTCGGCACCCTCAGGGCAGTTTCTTCTTTGGGAGGGCAAATCGAGTGAAAATAAGCATGGACGGGCTGATGCATGGGAAGAACCCTGGCTGACGGCGGTAGGGTACGCGTACTAAAGGCATTAGCAGCAGCATTATATTAGTGCTCATGTGCGATAGTACTTGCAATCAATAGCTCTTTTTGAACTCAGCTCAGTCGTCTCAAAGCCATGGAGTAGGAAAGCAGCAGGAATGCCCATCACAAATCACAATTGCAGATGGGCGAGTTATTACTGTTGGTCCGAACGCAAGGGCTAGTCGCCAGCTGTGCTTGGAACGGGCTGGGGTTAGACTTGATACATGCTAGCAGCACCCGCGATGCATTAGACGGCTCCTTCAGCCGAAAAGAGCGCGAGAGAGACAAGCTTGACAAGGCAGCCTTGGGGGGACAGAAGAGGGAAAACGGTCGTTGATTGGGGGCGTCGGCCTATTGCGTCAGCGCAGCAGCATGTGCTAGTGGCCACGGGATTGGACGGGCCTATTTGGAATCGACCGAAGTGATCAAACGGCTGTCTTTGTGCTGGTATTGCTACTTTGCTGAGGTTATCCACTGTATGTATGTATGTGTGCATTTTGTGTTGGTTCCGTGACTATGATGGATCATGACGATAAAGTGGGCAGACGGCCAAGGAGGATCGAATCCTCAATCCTAAAGACGGGAAGAGAAAATTTTAAAACAAAAAGGAAGACACAGAAAAAGTGAGACCAACTAACAAGTCACAACTAGAGCTGCATGCGGGTTGTATTGCGAAAGGGGGGAGAGGGGGGGGGGGGGGGATAGAAATTAAAAGATACAAGAGAGACAAGAGAACAGGAAAAAAGAAAAAAAGTTATGCAAACCTGGGGTTCACATGTCTTTCTCTCTCTTTTCTTTTTTTTTTTTTTGTACGTATTCGGTTATTTGTCTGCGTTGGCGTCGTTTTATCGTTTTGCTAGGAGAGTGTGGGAAGGTAAAAAAAAGGGAACGGCAGCCAATGGAAATAGCCGATGTAACCAATGAGAGACAAAGAAAAGGGCTTTTTTTTTTTTTACACTTGGCACGGAGGAGGTTTTAGCTAAAAGGGATTTGATTGCGCGGAGAAACAAGAAACAGGGCCGGTTGTTGGTTCGGACTTGGAGGGCTAGCAGTAGTATTGAATGTAGTATTCATTGCGTCTCACAAACGGGCAATCAATGTGTCGTATTGGTTTAGTAGTAGTCTAGGCTTAGCCGAACTGCGGGTTTTCCTTCCTTTTTTCCTCCTCCTGGGGGGGAACAACAATTTCACAAGGCAAAGTAAGCCAAGATTTTAAAAATAGAAAAGAAAAAAAGAAACAAGCAAACGAAAAAAAAAAAACAAAAAAACAGCAACGGCTTGAGTCAATTAGCGTTTCGAACACTGAGGAAATCTTGTGAGCGATAGTAAAGCTTAAAAGGGCCAAACTGTGGTTGTTTCTCTTCGCCATTTTAGTAGGCAAGTTATTCCCGCAAATGCCCGCAAGTCAACACTCATTCTAGGACGGTTCTCGCTCGCTGTGTGTACTAAACTAGACACTTAGCCACTGGACTTTGAAAATCACACACACCCCTCCCCCCCTGGCTCCAGCTGCTGGCGCAATTAGTAGTTTCCCAGTGGAGATCACGTTCCCGAGCCAAGGGCCTCATTCCAACAAAAAGGGAGGGAGGAAGAAAGAAAGAAAGGCAGCAAAGCTGAAAGGCGAGAAAAAAAAAAAAAAGAAAAAGAAAGGAGAACAAAAAAGTCAAAGAGAAACCATGTGCTACTACTCGCACTATGCTGTTTCTCATTAATGACTTGTTTGTTTCTTCTTCTTCTTCTTTATTCCCTTTGTCTAATTCGTTCGCTGCTAGCATTGTGAAACCGCAGAGTTATGCGCCAGTTTCTTGTGGGCCACCCGTAAGGTATTGATTGTATTACATGGCTGGCAACTTTTTGGCTGGTTGACTTGATTCGATGATCCTACAACTTCCTAACAAAGTACATGCACCCCTATCTGCCTATCTCGTCTGTGCTTGGGCATAGGGCCCCCCGAATATTTGCCCGTTGTCTCTCTCTGGAAAGGCCTTTTCGGAGATCCCCTTTGCCCGCTTAGTAGTAGTACTGCATGGAGGTAGCATCATCGTATAGCCGTAAGGGTAAGTAAATGCCTAGGTACAGGTACCGTACGGTGCGTTTCTGACCCCCGGAATGGTCTCGGAATCTCTTTTGCTTCCCGGAATAAATACCTACCACTAACTATTTTTGCGTGTTCCCAAATCAGACGATTTTCTCTCTCTGGTGCGCCCGCTGTTGCGCCTGGGACTGGGAACGGAGTTCGGCAGTATAGAAAAAGGATACCCAAGTAGTAAAGACCTGCTCCACGCCAAAAAAAAAACAACGGCCAATTCTAAATGCGCCATACAGACGAGCTATAGAGACACACAGCACAGGCGACAAAACGCTTGCGTTGGGGCCCCCTCGGCGTGCACGATGGCTCTATTTATTGCTCAAGTAGCGCATCGGCACATGTAGCTCGCAACTTTGTCATATTGTTTGCGGCACCTGCGGCAGCCGCAGCATCCGCTGGGCGATCCGGGTCTCGCACACGGAAGAATTGGGCTGTGAGATATAATTCCTCCGGCCGTGTATATTAATCCTGTTGCCAACTTGCAGCACCTGGCCTCGCAACTACCACCTACGGTTGGTTGCGAATAGGATGGAAAAATGGTCAGCGGCTAGCATCAAATAGCTGGCAGGGCGCCAGGATCGACAATTCCAGCCCGGAATCGCACCTGGGGAAAGCCCCATGCGATGGAATTCAAAGCAAGTTGAAACGAAACTCGTCTTTTGCTGTCGTAACAAGGCGCACCGTGTATGTACCTGTAAAAGTCCAATTCTCTTCTCCTGAGCCACCGTTATCTCCTAGCCCGGTGCGGGTACGTTTGCGCGCCAACGCCGCCAACGCCGCCTCGCCTTATGTAAGGAGTGCCAAATATATACGTGTTGTGTGTTGTATCCAGACATTGCTGCGCAGGCTCCTCTTTTTCTGTTTCTGAGAGGCGCAGGCCAATGGATGGGTGCGACGCCTGTTCAAGTTGCCAACAACAGCTGCCAGGCCAATCAGCCCCCATACCTGCCATGGAACCTAGCAGCACGCCCAAGAGCAGCGCTGGCCAGTGAGTTTGCGGCAATATGTCTTCAAGCGGTGATTTGTATGAGTAATAGCTCGAGCCTTGATACCTGCGAGCACAAGTGCGCCCTTGGCGGCGATTGGTGCCTGTTGCAAACCACTCCAAGCCCAAGCCCAAGCACAAGCAACAAGTACAAGCAAAAGTACAAGCACACGTCTCTTGGAGGATGCCGCCGTCCCCTGCGCGTGCATGTGTTTGCCATGGCGATTCCTTCTGATGCTAAACTGCATGCATCCTCCAGTGCATGGAGTCGGTCCCTAGCTGCGCGGATCGAGGAATCAATCAGTGAACAAACGGCCGCCTGAGTCTAGTTTGCAGGCGCTACTATCGTTGTGCGCTGTACAAATACGGCAACAAGTAGAAGCATCGTCTCTGAACAAGCCTACAAGTAGGCCTCCCGCTTCTGTCTCAGAGACTTTTGAGTTCCGCGAGTCGAGCCCATATACCGGTTATTACTGTACACGCCGCACGCTGCTTGCACCATCCCTTGAGAGACGAACCAAGACCGTGTCTGGGCTTCACTTGATGACCACATCAACTTGGCTCGCTCTTCTCTTCGCGCACACCCCTCCCTGGACAGACAGAACAGACAGAACAGACAGCTTCAACCTATTTTTTGCACCTACACCCCCCCTCCCTCTTTGGTTCTCTTTTGCCCTGTGTTCTTGTGCTGTTGCATCACGTCAACTTTCCCTTGTGTCAACCCAGCCAATCTCCTCCCTTTTGTTGCTGCTGCTCTTATGTTTTTGCCCTTGTTGAGACTGGGTTTGTGCATGTGCTGTTTGGAACCAAAGATTATCACTGCTGAACACGGCGCGGGGGGAGCGAAATCATGGACATGTACATGTATCCAAGTAGTTCAGTCATCATATCCTCTCCCAACGGTGGGAACATGCCCATCGAGTCATTTTCAGAATCCGGCAACTGTCCCCGAAAGAGGATTTCGTAATTCAAAGACGAGAGACATAACAAAAGAGCAACGGCACTACTGTACATGTACCAACAACAACTCGCTCTTGGCTCTCGTCTCTTATAGTGGACATGCGGCATGGCGCACGCATCGCATCGCATCAATCCTTTTTTCTGGGGCGCAAACGCTGATTATTCATGCCCTTGTTTTCCATTTTATTTTTGTGGTTTCCCTCCCACCTTTTGGCTCTGATTCCCTGTTCAATCTCTCGCGCATCACACACGCCCCCCCCCCCTGGTCGCCTGGCCGATTAGACTCAAGACTCGCAGCCGATCAGAGTCTTGTTGCTTTCCGGGTCCCGACAATCTCTCTTCAGCCCACGGCCGCCAAAAAAAGAGGATCCCCCCAATTGCTGCCACCACTGCCGCTACCACAGCTGCTGGCCACTGCCACTATTAGTGCTCTGGTTCCTCATAATACCATTTCAAACGTCCTTCTTTTCCTCCCTCCTCCTCCTCTTCTCCCTCCTCGCATCCGTAGCACAGCTGGGCTTCGACGGCATCGTCGTCCATCACGTGTATTCCCATTGTCGAGAGGCCCCCGAATCGCCAGTCTTGTCTCTTTGCCGCAAAGCACGCCGTGCCAGACGCTCTTCTTTTGCCCGTCGGGGAAAGTCTGCATTGGGTTATAATATTTGACTCCCTGCCATCGGCGTTTTCAACTATCGGACAAGGTGTCAGCCTTCACCCTGGTATTTCTATTAGTAGTACCGCTTGAAGAAAACCCTCTTTTTTTTCCTTTTATATAGTCACTTCTATTTCGTTTCGTCCGTCCCTTGAGCCTGCGTTCTTGATCCTCACAGCACACACCACATCGCATCATGGACGGCCTGGCAGTCGAGCAATATCCCCTTACGCGGACGCCGCCGCTCGCATCGACGGAATCCAACATGGCTGGCCTGGCCTCCCAGCAGTCTCCTCGACAGCTATCAGAGAAGCGAGAGCTGCCTCACCACTCGATCCTCAGCACGGCCGCCCTGTTGAACCCCATCATCGACAAGGAAACAGTTCTGCCGCCGGTGGAGGATCCCGTGGCGCCACATGGCCATCTTCAGTCTCTCTCCCCCACGCCTCGGCTGCCGCCCATTCAGTCTCGCTCTCATTCTCCTCGGTCTCTTTCACACCCCCATTCCATCTCCCAGTCGCATCAGTCGCACTCGGTTCCCAATTCGCAGTCCCAGTCTCCGGTTATTGGAAATGCCGTCTCAGCGTCTACAACGCCTCCGCGAGAGCCAACAATCAACGGGCTCGTCATGGATCTTGCGCAAAAGTGAGTACATTGAGTCTTCTTCTCCTTCTTTCTCTTCTGTCTCTCCTTACCCACTCTTCTTCTGGTTTGATACTCCTTTGGTTTCCACTTCCTACGTGTTATTGTTTCCTTTACTTTACGCCGTCGGCAAGCAGAAGCAAAGAAAAAGAAACAGCAAAGCTGCTGTCTTGGTTGCGCTATTATGGATTCTATCCAGACTCGCGCCTCTGCAGGGGCATCAACATCATGTCTGCTAGATGCACTGCTTTCAAGCGGCTCTCCATCTCTTCTTCTCTACTCCCGCCTCGCAACAAGCACTCAAAACGAGAGAAACCAAGTCACCAAAACCCCCAAATCTGGCTGCAAACACCCGAGGCGCAATTGGGTTTCCTGCTCGCAGTGGGGCCTGCCAGTGGCCGCCGGATGGCCTCGTTGTGCTGTTTTTGCTACTTTGGTGGTACTTGGTGCTCCCGTCATGTCTCGCGCTTGGGAGGTACCGCTGTGAGTAGCAAACTTGCAGCTCTTTCTCGCTTCTTATCCCTCACCCTTCTTCTTTTCCTCTGCACAAACTGCACAAACTGCGCACACAAGCGTCCAGCAGCTCGACCAAGCGGAAATCACACTGTTTGCGTGCGCAACTCACACATACGCCGCGCTCTCGTGATTTGTTCTTGATTACTTCCCTAATTTCCTACCTGGGAATTTGTTTTGTCATCGGTCAGATCGCAGCCCACCGGCTACTGTTGCCTTTAGCCTTGCAGCCTCTCCAAAGGTGAGCCGAACCGCCAGGGAACTGATTGGCCCACGCCGCTGCGCCCTGAACCGTGCCGATCGAAGCTACCTGGATTTGTCGCTCACCAGCTTTGGCTGAGCCTAGTGGCTTGGACAAGACGCCATTGGCGTGCAACGTGTTTCCATAGGAATGGGCGTTTATACGTGCAGCATCCATCTGTCGGATTTGGTTACGGCATTTCGCAGGGTGCTCTTCAAATCGGGAAGTTGCCGTTGTCTTTGAACATGTCAAACCAGTTTGGAAGCGGTTTTGCGGTGGCGAGATTCTGCACAGTGTTTTGATATGTTTTTTTTTTGTCTCCAGTCTGTCTGCTTGAGCATCACCGCCTTCTTCCTCTTTCTTTTTTTTCCCTCTTTTGTTTCCACCTGAGCTTGGCAATACAAGAACATTGCGCTAGTGCCGCTGCAAGATTCCATCCTGCTGCCTGGGCCATCCGTCCTGCTTCATTCATGCCCGAAGGTCATCAATTTGTCCGCCGGACTTTCCCAGTTAGCCTGTCGCTTTAAGCTTCAAGGCCGGGTTGCTTTCTCTTCATCAAGAGCCGGCGCTTTGGCCTCCTTCAGCCTTGATTCACTTGTTTATATCATTTTCTTTAGCCTCAATCTCTCTTTTTGTATTCAATTTTTCTCTTCGTTTTGAGCAAAGATGGTCTTATTGTCCCCCATTTCTTCGGCTTTGACCGACGAGACTGCAACCACTCCCTCAACTCCAACTGACATCCACTCTAGACATTCCAACGGCCACATCAAGCATTCACCTGACGACAACGAAGCAGAAAGTGAGCTTAGTGAGCCGGACAGCAACGTTCGTTCGCCATCAGGAGTGCGTTCCCACGAATCGAAAGCCTCCATTGTCGTCAAGGACACAACTAACGGTGATCAAAAGATCTCGCATGAGCGTACCATCTCCGACAACGAGGACGAGACCATGATAGGCATTCAGCATGAGCCTGTAGTGTCTCATTATCCCAAGCGCAAAAGAAACTCAGTCTTCACCGATCTTAGTGAGAGCAAGATGGAGCTCCCCAATGGCGCAGACGGATCCAGGACTTCAGTGCCTGGCCAGAGTTTCAAGCCCAAGTCGTCACGGCAGAGTCTGGGAACCGTCAGAGGTGTTTTACTGGGCCACTGGCGAGACTCTCCAATTCCGAACCCCGAAGGCCGCCACGCTGTCATTGGCTTTATAGACGTGCGCGACCGATTGCGTACTCGAATTCAGCCGTATACCGTCATCAACGAGCCCGTCAGCAACGACTATCCCATGCCCCCTGGGCCCGGTGGTAGCTGGGTTACTTTCGAAAGAGTCGTCTTTTCTAAGCATCTGGTCGGCCTGGATCACTTCCAAGTTAAGGAGTATGTGAGGCTGCGAACGGATTCTCAAGACGAATCTGAGGAGGAACGCGAGGCTGCTGAACATGCGGCTGTCAATCAGGCGATTCGCCGAGTCAAGGAGAACCCTGCATACGACAATCCAGCCACTCAACCTGCCATAGCTCATGGCCTGGAGTTGCCCGACTCAGCATCCAGTCCCGGACGGCCAGAGTCCAAGAGGAGGCGCGTGAGTGGTGGGTTTGCTTCCATCAATCCCGGTGGCAGCAATAGCCCGCCGGAGCGTTCGCCCTTGCTGCCATCGCAGCCCGCGCTGCAACCCCGGCCACCCCATGTCCCGAAACTGCATGGCCCGCTTCCAGGTACTAGACCCACGCGCATCCTTCTGGGATTCTGGAAGGGCTCAAGTGAAGAGGATCCAAGAGACCGCCACGCCGTCTACGGCATCTTGGGGCAGAATGACATGTTTAGAGTAAAAGTAGTCCGTGAAACTCGTGACGGCCGATTTGTTGACGGCAACTTTCCTACTGGTGCAGGTGCATTGTGGATCCAGTATGAAGAGGTCGAATTTGAGCCGCATTTGAAGTCCCTTCAACGATCTGAGATTAAAGAATACTGCCGAGTTCGCCAATACCAACTGGATCAGGGCGAAGTGCCAGAAGAACGAGTCAACAACGAAATTCGAGCCGTTCATGAAGCGCAGGCCCGCGCCGGCTCGGGCTACAGACACATTCACCAGGCCATTGCCCCATACCACCCTATAGCTGCTGACGACTCGGATCTAACGAATGGCCGGTCAGACGTTGGTGGAGCTCAGCCTGAACTTCGGCAGTCGCGCCGCGGAGAATCCCGGGCCACTCCTCGACAGTCCTTCAACGAGAACGACATGCGCCAGACATCGAGACCCTACGCCGAGCAGGAGCCTTCGCGCCCAGACTCTCGCGCAATGAATCGTGTCCACAGCTCCGATGGAATGGAGCGTACCAATGCGCTCGCCCGCCGAGAGATTGCGCGCGTCGAGGCTGCTCAGGGCCGAGCTGACCGACATGCCCTGCATCGAGAACGGGCTGCCGCTCTCGTTGCCGACGCTGCTGCTGCCGCCGCCGCCGCAGTCGTCGCCTCTGCGCCATCTGATGCGACCAACGGCAGAGCGCCATTCCACGAGTCTGAGGATATGCAGCGCTTGAACAAAGTCTGGGCTCGCCAAGAGAGCCTTCGTCTAAAGGCTGGTGCCGAAGATGCCAAGATGTATGACGGTGTCAAATATGAGCGCAAGACGAATGGGCCCTTTATAGGCAAGCTTGTCTCGCAAGGAACCATCATTAATATTGATGGGGAAGACTACGTAGAATATCGCGTTCTTACGAAGCCCTCCTTTTTCTAAATGGCCGTCTTTTTTTGATTTCCATCAATCTCAACTTAAAAAAATACCGCAGTTTGGCCCTGCATGCAGCATGACATAACCAGGGACTCGCGCTGACAAAAAGCCTTCCGAAGACAAATGCGATACAATGCGACATAATACCGCCTCAGGCGAAATGACCATCTTGCTGCAAAAATGGTGGACTTTATGAATCGCACGCCTTTACCTAATCGAACTGTGAGGTCGAAAATAGACGAAGCAGAGGTGTTGGATGAGAAGAGCCTGATTTCTTACTCTCTTTGAGTTTTGTCACTTGTTCTTTCTTTTAAACTTCCCGTTCTTTCTTCTTTTCTACATTTACTGTTTGTTATGTTTTCTGTCTCTTGTCCCTTCGTTTTCATTTCCTTGTCAAGGGGAGCGAATATATACGTGCCGCCAAGCTAGATATACGCACAAAGAGACGCAGCAGCGAGGGATAACGCGGGCACTCATGCATTTACTTTGGCGTTTTTCAGAGAATGGGGGTGTCATGCCCAGCAACGGGATTTTTGTTCGATTTTTCTTTTTTCCTTTTGAGCTCCCTTCCCTCCGTTCTACAGGGCATGTCTTTCTTTCCTTTGTCCTTTTCCTTTTCTTGTTAAGAATCATGTTTTTCGTTGCGGAATTGTGTCTTTCTGTTTTGCTCTGAATACCCTGTCTTTTTTCTTTTTACTTTTTTTTCCTGCGGCTCTGAAAGCTGTATGAGGGTAATGATATGCGAACTTGGGGCGGGAGCTACGAGCCTGATATTAGAGAGAGAGAGCTCACGATAGAGTTACCTGTGGGCTAGATTCTCAAGTGTTGAGGGTGCGCTGCTAGGTAGTAATCTGATATGTCAATAACGATTGGTTTCTTTTTTCTTCATAAATGAATTTTTGTTACTACGTAGGACGATGTCTGTAATTAAGAAAATTAAAAGATGAAAGAAAAGAAAAACATATTTATTTTTTTCTAAAACCATATGTCCCGTGTCTTGTATACCGTAAACATTTTACTTTATTCTCATCATCATAAATGCCCTCTTTTCATCCCTCTTTTGTCCCTTTTTTTCAATTCCCATTTATTCATTTCTCTTTTAGTTGGCCTCTGTTTCAGCCTCAGCCTTTTCCTCTTCCTTTTCAGGCTCTTCATATCCTTCCACCTTCATGTCCTTCAGACCCAGCTCCTCCTCCTCCTCATCCGTTCTGGTGTACTTTTCCCTCTTAATCTTGGGGTCAGGCGCCGGCGGGTCCACTAGCGACTGGACGTAGCTGCTGGCAAAAGGATCGGTCAAGATGATGGTGAAGCGCCTGGTGCCGGCAATGGCGTCGTCGAGGTTGGCAAAGAACTTGTCCCACTGGGACTTTTCGTCGGCGCGCAGCGAGTCGCCGCCCTCGCCGGCCTGGAAGATTTGGCTGTGGAGGTCGTTGCGGACCTGGGTGAGGAGGCCCTCGACGGTGGTGAAGCGGCCGCCGAGGGTGCCTGGGTTGACGTGCAGCTCGAGCTCGGGGCACTCGAGGCCGCAGGTCTCGCTCTTGAGGATGTCGCGGGCGAGGTCGACGACGCCGTCGACCTCGAGGGTGATTTTCTCGCCGTGCTCGGGGATCTCGCCGCCGGTCTTGACGTCGTTGGAGCGGTAGCCGCAGGCGTCGCAGACGGTGGACATGAGGACGACTTGCTTGAAGTGGGGGATGTCGACCATCTTCATGTGCGTCGTGCACGAGTGCATGCAGCCGGGGCAGGTGGCCGGGAAGCTGTACACCTCGTTGGGGATGATGTCGCCGTCGGCGGTTGTGCCCGGCTGGTAGCCCGGGTCGTTGAGCGTGGCGTCGGCGGTGTCGTCGGTGTCGCCAAGGCCGAGGGCCTGGTTCTGCTCGGCCGTCCGGGCGAATTCGTGCTTCTCCCACTTGCCGACGCCGTCCTTGAGGTCGGGCGCGATGAAGGAGTTGCCGGCGGGGTCGTCGACGTAGACGCGGAAGGGGAACGACTCGCCCGCCAGCATGGCCTTTGCCTTGTTGATGATCTCGGCGACCTTGTCGAAGATTTCGGGGGCCTGCTCTTTGCGCGCCTCCTGGCCCATCTCGAGGTCGTCGACGACGCCCGAGAGCAGGCCCTCGACATTTGTCAGCTGGCCGCGGCCGGCGGGGATCTCGAGGTCGATCTCGATGAACTTGACGGTCGCGGTGTCGGCCTTGACGACCTGGCGGGAGAAGTCGTCGAGCGCGGTCAGGCGCAGTTCGTAGTGTGTGCCCTTGGGCTGGATGGTGCCGGCGGGCTGGATCTCATTGTTCTGGAGGCCGCAGTGTTCGCAGGCAAAGGACATGATGACGACCTCGCGGAAGTAGGGGATGACGGTAAGGAGAAGTCTTGTTATGCCCTACATAAGACGGAGTTAGCTTCTATGACAAGACAAGATACCTCTTGGGAAAAAAGAAAGGCAAGACGACTTACATTTTCGTGGCAGTTCATGCACAGCGACTCGATCTCGTCCACGGGCTTGAACTCCTCCTCTGTTGAGTCGCCGTTTGCGGTTGATGATAGGCCCTGGGCCTTGTTGCCAATGGGCTCAAAGAAATTCTGCTTCTCGCTTTCGGCAGCCATGTTTGGTATCAAGGTGTTACGAAAATAATAACAAACCAAAGAACAGAAAAAAAAAAAAGGTTGTCGCAAATGCCTAGTTCTGTTGACTGGACGGCGGCGGGGATCTAAAAATTTTGGAGGGGCAATTTTGATAGCGGTCGCGCGCGTTTATGTCATACAGACAGAGGCGCTAGAACGTTCCCGACGCATCGCTCAGTCGCAGCGTTTAGCGCTAGTAAGTGCGATTTGCTTCCAAATTTCTCTGTCGCGCAGCTGATAACCCCCCAAAGAATCGCTGTTGTATTATTGTATTGTTTGGTTGGGTATGTGAGAAAGACGCCGTGGAAGATGCTCGTGCATTCATTTCTTCATAAAGCTTGCAAGCGACAGCGGATTTGATTGGCGCTGCTGTTGGCCGGATAGCAGAGCCTGTAGCCCGGCCTTGCGATTCTTGGCGCGCTTCTTGCTGCTGGCATTTGCCGTCGCTGGCTTTTGGACCTCGTTGTTAGTTGTAGAGTCTTGTATCCTTGATTTGGTGACTTTGCGGCGCGTAATAGCTTCAGGGGCTGGGAGAGAAATTCTGGTGACCCTGGCGCAGAAGCCGCAGGAGAAATCTTTCGACCGCTCTCGCGCAGAGCCAGGCCTCGCCGTCTTGTCTAAAGCTGAAGATTGCGCTCTTCTTCCCTTTGGCCTCCTTGTTCTAAGAGTTTCTAGCTTCAGCTCTGTTGCTTGTCCCGGGATCATGATGTGGCCGCAAGCAGCGCAGACAAGCTGTCGCTGAAGGTCTGAAGGCGCCATGTCGTGAGCGTAGAGAAGCGCTGCTCGCTGGCTCAGAAGATGCGCTGACGTTTCTGGAGCTGCATTCCGAAGCACATGTGCAGCATCTGTGAGATAATTGATTGCCGGAGAGTGTGCGGTGATGGATGCCATGGCGTCTTAGTCTATGCTCGCGGTGCAGTAGACGGAGTTGAGTTCGAGAGATGTTTTGAAGCTTCAAAGTCGGAACCGTGATGGGCAGGTGGGGTAGGGGTATCTGGATGACTTTGGTGGGGTGTCTGTAATGGATGCGTACCAGGGCAGCTTGACATGACAACAGATGAAGCCTTCTATTTCTTTTAATTATTTTTTACACGTTATGCCCTCTTAATCTCCCATGTCAGCTCCTTTATGCTTACTTCCTCTCCTGCCTTTTCGTCGTAGTCAAACCATTCTCCATCTGTCAAGTCGACTGCGGTAAACTTGGTGCCGGAATCAATTCCGTCGGCAAGCCAATCACCCTTCAAAAGAGTAGCATTGTTAACCAACAGAATTTCTCCTTCTCCTTCTCCTTCTTCTTCCTTCAACTAAATGGGAGCTTTGACATACCTCTGGCTTGAACTCTACAAATTCCAGGCCTCTGCAGTCAAACTCGATCAGTTTCTGCGCCTTGGGTGGTTCGCCTTGTTCATAGGCTGCTGGAGCAGCCTTGATCGACGCAGATGATTCTCGCTGTGAAAAAATTGAACATGTAAGTGCATATCAAGTAATTTCTCCAGAAAACTTGTGGAAGCGTACCTTGCAGTTTTTGCATCTCCAGACAAAATTGGCTTCCCCTCGGCTGCCACTCATCTCGTTGAGCTCCTGGTTGAGAAACTGTGAGCTACCTGGAACTCATGCAAGGAGAGAAAAGAGGCAAACTCACGAAGCGGTTTACCCCGACATAGTTGTCGTGGGTCTCTCTGCAAGAAGTGCACTGCACCTTGAACATGTACCAGAACGGGTTCTCCTCAGAATCGTCAGGGCGCAAATTGGTGACGCTGTTTTTCGTGTGAGCGGAGATTTGCTTTGTGAGATGGCGGGGCAAATTTCATGGCACAAACCCCGAAAGCTCTGCGGTGAGTGCGAGGGCGAACATGTCGGTATGATTCCCCGGCTCTATATACAAATAAAGAAGATAAAATTGAGAATTCCAAGAATCCTTTACCGTTCTATATCGATTCCTCGAGAGATGGCAATCTGCTACTGTCGCGCAGCTGATGCTAGAGAGAGCTATCATGGTGGGGGTTGAGAGCTGTAGAATCAATCACGTGACGCTTCAGAAACCTCGCAAAGGAAAGTGGGAGCATCGTTCGATTTTCGACCCGTCGGTTTACACCTCGGGCTTCGACTTCAATTGACGGCCACAAAGCGCTCTGCTCCTCTCGGACAACCGTGCGCCTGTCTGCAAATGTCTAGGTGATGCAGACCATCCTTTCTAGAGCCGGAACGGCTCCTCGCAGCGGGTGCAAAGCCTGCAGCAATGCCATCGACACCCTGGGCAGGAGAGCGACCTCTGCTCGCCGCAAGCCGACGCTCACCGAGCTGTTCACCGCATGTTATAGCTCCGTATTTGCTACGGCGGCCCTGGTAGATGCCGTCAGAAAGGATGACCGCAGGAAAGAGCTGGACCGCCAGATCGAAGAAGTCCGGAAAGAAATAGCTGATCTTCAAGACCCCCGAAAACCGACCGGCCCCGGCGACTTGGAGACTCCAGAGCTCAGCCTTCGACAAATGGACATACTCTGGCGAAGCTTGAAGGACGTATACAGCAATCGTCCATATATGAAAGAGATCCACCAGCCGGCGACCATCGGACCGTCTGATCTTGTCGAGGCTTTGAAGCACGAGCGCTATGGCCATCGCAATCCCACCCGGAAGATCGATTATGAGAAGCTGGAGCGTACAATTATACGTGAAGAATGCGACAAGGGAAAATATTACCGGGAACCCCGAAACCAAGCTCAGCTGCTCCGCGAATCTCTGAGTACGGAGCACCTCGTTCAAAAACTTCTGGACCGTACCGATTTTCTTCCCGAAGACCAATCCGGCCCCTCGCTGCAAAAAGCCCGGAGCTTATTAGAAAAAGGAAGCCTAGGCTTGGGTTTCACATTTCGATCCATAGACGCGGCCAGGGCCCGTGACAACACTATTCAACTAAACAAACGCTTGAGATCCTTGGTGGCCTCCCCGAATCTCAATATGAAGGAAAAGGTTGGCAGGATTTGCTACAACCTGCTAGTTTCACCACACCCGCCAGACATCCACACTTACAACACGCTGATTGTTGCGTTTAATAAATCTGGTCATCATGTGTTTGCCGAAGCTCTTGTTGCTTCCTTTTTCCAGTACCGACTCCTACAACCTACGCCATCTACCTTTATCGCCATCTTAAATCATTACAAATGCACCAACAATCACGGAAAGTTCCTGAGGGCGCTTGCATGTATCACCGGACTCGACAACCGGACAGGCGCAAAAGTGCGCAGGAGACATGTATCAGATATCAAAATAAGCCCAACTCTCTTGCCTTGGGCTTCAGATACTAGACGTCGAACCCTCACCGGAGAATGGATCTGGGATCATCTGCCGCTCTCCCAGCCTTTAGTGGAAGAGATCATTGGCGGCTTGCTTCACTTCAAGCTCTTTGACCAAGCTGCCGCATTCTTTGTATCATGCATGCAATCCGGAGTCAACATTAGCTTGGATACAGTCAAGTGTTTCTTGGATGAATGCGTCGATGCTCTGGACTGGAGAGCTGCAGTCCGACTAACTGGCAGCTTGGCACGTTCCGAAACGATACTTCAGAGGCTACTTGGAGCAGGCAATGGCGAGGGCACATCATACATTGCGAGCCGAATACGCGTCTTGTTAGACATATGTGGCCTTGGGGCCGCAGATCGGCCTCCTTCAAAGTCGCTTCTAGTCAGCCTAAAAGTTTCCGGGCCTTCTTTTGCCAAATTCCTTAAAACCTTGGCCCAGGAGGCAGGTTCATCGCAAGAGCCGTTGGCACATAACCGAGGTATTGGCAGATCCAAAAGCAGAGTGCTGCAACTCGAAAGTATTTGGAAAGAATACGAGTTTGTGAGAAAGACGACCATCTCCATCGAAAGCAAACTTTTATATCCCGACTTCTCTACCGCCTTTCGAGGTTCAATGGCGCTCCAAATTGGGCAGGCAGCTTTGGAAAGAAGCACTCAACTGAATCAGGAATTCGGCGAGCTGACGGGCCGTGTTTTGAACGAATCCAGAGATGGTCATACCTTTCAGGAGACTACACCCCTCTCTGAAGAAGATTTACCTGCAGAGCGAGAGTCTCTAGTCTTGGCCGAAGATGCGACACAATCGGAGGGGCCGGAAGTTCTTGACTACGAGAAAACGCTTGATCCTCGACTTACAGAACGTCGACCCAAGCAAATGCTACTGTCGTGGTCGACCTGTCTACCCGGCGAGAGAAGCGTGTTCCAAAGAACAGCTATACATGACGCAAAGATGATGAGGACGGGATGACCAAGATGAGCCAATCATGGTCAATCCAAAACAATGGTCACTTATTCTCCAAATGTATATATATTTGTATAAAAAGCGAATAGGAGAAGAGACTGGCACGTGTGAGATGTTGCATTTAGATTCATGAATGCTCTGACACCAGGGCCAGAAATTACTGTACAAATAACAAGCTGTAATACACATGCATGGAATTACCTATACCTAAGCTGAAGCTCCTCGGCTCTAGGCACGTGTGAAAGATCTCAAACTCAAAATAGGTTGATCTAGACTAACGAGACTTGACTGCTTGATTGTTCAGAAAGTGGCGGCAATTAGCGCAAGGGAAAAGCTAGCCCTGGAACTTTGAGATTGAGGTTACAGTGCTGATGGTACCGTGTTCAACAGCAGCTCTCAGCGAGTAGCGGTGCCTGGCCGCGCCCCAGCCAGCGGCCTTCCAGCGGTCGCAGCCGCGAGCCCACAGTGAGGCAGCGGGACGCAGACTGGCTGCCCCAGCGGTGCCCCAGCGGTGCCCCAGCTGGCGGCACGACCGGCATGCCGCTGTGGCTCGTAAAATGCCGGCTGGCAAGTCACGAGGCTGCGTCGTGTCCACTCAGGCATCCCATGGGCTCCATGTGCTCCATGCCGCTGCAAGGAATCGCTCAGGGGCTTGACGGCTTGACGCCAATTGATCTGACCAGCTGCTCCACCGGGGCGACCGTGGGCTCGCTTGAGTGGCACAGAGGCTCGATTCAGGGTCCTTCCAGGCGTGGGCTGGACGCCGTTTGACGTTATGACGAGGGTTGGAGCTGCCAAAAGGTGGGCGATGACAGAAGGTGTGGAGAGTGGCATCAAACCGATTTGTTTTCTACCGTATGGGCTTTTTGCGCTTTTCTTCCTTCTCAAATGGGAATCTCCACCAGCGACTGATGGAATTGAAAAAGGCGGCGTGGCCTCCGAAGCTTGCATCCGACGTTACTTCTCTCTTCCGTTGTGCTGCCACATGTTTGACGGGCTTGGCCACCTTTGCCGCTCCAGCAGCACAGATCTCGGACATCTGAGCAGAGAGCGCAGCCAACATACACGACACGCGCCATTCCCGTGACTCGACGCCACAATTACAGTTGGACGACGAGAATACCGGCCATCTGCTGCGTTGCTGCCGTTGCTTTATCAAGTCCGATTACGCCAGCGCAAAGCCTGAGTATGTCTGCATCCATCTCCCCCCGGTTCTCGCTTCAGCAGTCATCAATCTCCATCCTTGCGCCTCTGGACAATCTAGACTCGCGCTGCCTGGTTATGGATTGTTTGGCGGCTACCCGCATTTGTTAGAGCGTCTTGAGGAACGTGGAGGCTGGCGATCATCACGCGGTCTGCTCTGGACTGGAACCTCTCCGGCGCATCCTTGTCCTTTCCCTCCAATTCAGTTACCCGTCCATTTAAGACTTTTCGCGCTCTGACCTTCTTTTCTTACAAGCCTCTTCTGGTATTCAGCTGGAGTTGTCGACGGAATTGCGCTGCTGCCTTGTAAGTAAGGAGTTGCTGCTCAATACCTACCTCCAAAGCAACAGCTTTCGCCTCTGTGTGAAAATCGATCCGACTGCCCCTCCATCACAGAAGGAGAAAAAAAAAATTGCCTTGCCGAAACCCCCACGCGCAGTTCTGACCAATCGGCAGCAAGGCGACAAAAGAACAAGAAACATTCCCAAAACGGAAATAAAAGAGTAGACGGGAAGATTGGGAGGAAAGATGAAGTTTGGACGAAAGTGAGTTGTTTGAGGCTTATTGACCTCAAACCCCCCAAAACCGCCAAAAAGGCGGCATTCACTGAGACCAGTCCTCCTCCACAAGCCTCCCGCGAAATCAAGTCCCCGAATGGGCCGGCGCCTACATCAACTACAAGGGCCTCAAGAAAATCGTCAAGGCCGCCGCCGAGAAAGCCCGAAATGGCGAGGCCGTAGATCCAGCAGGTGGGCTGTCTTGAAAGCTTGTAACCCTTTGTTGAGGCTGAGCCCTCCTCCCTAACTCCAAACGCCACAGAGCTTTCCTTCGCCCTCGACCGTAACCTTGAAGATGTCGACTCATTCTATAACAAGAAATACGCCGAGGCTTGCCGACGTGTCGACCTCTTGCAGAATCGCTACGGACGCGTGCCCGATGTGGTTGCGACTCTGGATCAGGATGAGATTGAGGAAGTCATGGGGGCGCTCTTGGAACTCAGAAGTCAGCTGAGGAACTTGCAGTGGTTTGGCGAAATCAACCGTAAAGGCTTCGTCAAGATCACAAAAAAGGCCGACAAGAAGGTGCCAGGAATTGCTTCTCAGCACCAATACATTTCGACAAAAGTTGACCCGAGACCCTTTGCACGGGACGGGAACGTTCTCAGACGGCTCAGCGAGATTAACCGGTGGCTTTCAGTGCTGGGAGATGCACAGAAACCGGATGATTCAATGTCGGAACGATCTACTCGCTCCTTTAGCAGATCATCGGCCAAGATATTCCTCCACATGCCGCAGGCTCAGTTTGATGCGCTAGAGCAAGCCGTCCGAAACAACGACGTCGCAGCTCTCCAGCAGGGACTGGCGGATGCACATGTTGTAGTATCAGAGACTTCATCGCAACCTTTGTTGCTCAATCTCCTGCAACGATCAATATCGAGCAGATCTAGGGCATGCATCACGTATCTTTTACAAAACATTAAAGATC